TTAGCTCAAATCTTTATTGGGACAAAAGTTTGCAAAGTTGTTCATAGTCAGATCAACTATGAAATAGGAATAAAGTTCAAATCAATTGTCTAAATGATATAAGTTCAAATAAGAAAAGCCTAAACATTTGGAAGATTTTTAGAATCAATTTAGCAGTGACTCTAAATTAGATCCTTATATTTGCTCATATAGATGGCTATACTTCTTTGTGATTTATGTGAGCAGAATAAAGTATCTGTAATTTTTATGAGATTGCATTTTTTTGTTGTTGTTGTAAAACAAATAGGAACATTTTATTTTAAATTTTGTTTCTGTTATTTCTAGTTATGAGAGAAGAGCAGTAAAAAGGATATAGAATTTATCATTTATTATGAATTCTGTATATTTCTATATCATGCTAAGCTTTATTTTGGCAAACAGTTTCTTTCCTATGAGCCCTTTATTTAAGCAGGCTTGTTCAACCACTCCACTTCTTTTAATTTCAAAAAGCAGTTTTTTTGTTTTTATTTTTATTATTATTTTTTTTTATTTCTTTTTGCAAAAATAGGGTTGGAGAGGGTGGGGGAAATTGCTGAAGTAAAATGCACAGAAATCTGCAAGGCCTTAATATATACAAGAATTTATGAAATTTCTTTTTTCCATAAATCTACTTCACACATTGCTTAATTAAAATGTTTATGGAGTTGACTTTTTGTCCAAGGTTTTCAACTTTTGAAGACCAAGAATAAGTTCAATTGTTTGCATATGTAATAAAATTATGTCATCTCCAGTTCAGTGAACATTAATATTTGGTATGGGAAAGTGATGATTTTTTTCGGTTTTATGCAAAATGAGTAATTTGCTAAAGGTAATGTAAAATTGTCATACACACAATTTAATTAATTTTTCAGGATCTAAAAGTTAATGTATGTGCTTTAAGCAAATGTATTAAAATGAATTCAATGATTCTTGTGCACAGTCCTGCAGGCATGTGCTAACAGTCAACAATGTATACATTTTGTTATGTTTATAAAGATAATCGTGATGGTTCAACATATTGTGACGAGGAAATGTAAAACATCGGATCTTGTTATTGCTCATTACACCTGATTAGACTGCCGGATTCTTGTGTTTTAAAAATGGTTCATTAATGTTAGAAGGGCTAACTTGTCTCTAAGCCCCAGTGAAATGTTGAAGGATTCTGTGTGAATAAAGCTTTCATAGACATTTTAAAGGATTTGAATATGCATTCCAATAACGTGCATCGAAATGATGCTGTGTCCATGAACAATATTTTTAAGCAGAAATCAAAGCTACGGAGTGCTGTAACTTGATATAGGAAGGTCATACACCAAGTCAGCTGATTTGGAATTGGTAAGGTGGAAATTTTACCAATGTATATTTGGAATTACTTGTTTGGTCAAGTTTTTCTGAAGTGTTTGTTCTGCACGCTGTGTCTGGATTGTGTGATTATTTTAGTCTTCATTGGAGTTTGGTTATACTGTTGAAATGGACAGTTTAATGTGTTTACTCTAGTATTTTGTAATGAAATGACTTTGATTTTTGATTATCTCAATGACCAAAAAACTTTCATGACAGTTTGTGAGCAGTGGAACTGAGTCTGACAGAGGAAATCTTAAGCTTTGTAATAAGTCAACAGATGAGTGGGAATTTATGACAAAAGGGCATTTAGTGTCAAAATGTTTGAGAAATTGTCATACTGAAGATCATAACTTAAAAATTACATCACTGTGGCAAAAATTAAATTTTTAAAAGTGAATAAAAATTTCCAGTGAGCATGACAGAAGCAAAACTAACTCTAGTGTGAACTACTCTGAAGGTTTACTTCAGTACATAAACCCCACTGGATGTACCCTTACTAATAAAGGAAAATTGATGTGCAATGATTTATTGCTCAATTGTTAAAAATGATGTTCAAAACTGGGAAGAGGGTTGATTCAAGTGCAATAACTTTGGAAAAAGTTTGTAACGGTGCATGGCCTATATACCCTGTAATTGGGTAATTGTCTTTGTGGAAAAGTTAATGCTTCTTCTTTAGTTTCATATTGGATGACAGAAAGTTGCTGAGTCAGAAATTCCATAAAAAAAATCTGTTTATTCTTGCTATTATTAAATTGTTTTGTCATGATAATAAATTTTAACTTTTGTCAGGAGATATTTTTCTTCATCATATTTGATGCTGTGTAATTGAAGATGGTTTTGGAGCCTGAAGAGTTAAACGCTTTCTTTGTATTGTTAAACACTCTATGTTATCTTCTCATCAAATTCTATATCGTAATCCACTCACGTTCACAAGAATGAGGTAGCAATATCAAGTAAAAGTCCATAGTCATGCGAACGTGAATGTATGAGGCTTTGGAATTCTATTTTTCCATGCAAGAATGATTAAGAAATAAAATACTCATATCTACACAGCTGTACGTAATAATTATTGAGGAGAAATTGGTGTGTAGCGCAATGATTTCCTAGCAGTATTAAGAAGAATATAAGTAATCGCTCAAGCAAGAAACATTCCCAAGGGCGCCTTATTATTAAAATGACCGAATAACTCAGGTAAAATACTTTCCATTGATCAAAAACGTTGGTTGATCTTTGCGATCACTCTAGCAGAACACTGCTTTCACGTTTCAGTCGAACTGAGCATGCGCTGGAGCAATTGACACACTTTTCTATTTCCCACCTATTGTCCTTCATAAGTCTGATGTCATTATTCCATATATGGAGATCACGTCTGCAAATGTTTTATATAGCAATATTTAATAGCAATGAAACATCACTTTTTTGAAACCATTTCACGTTTACATCATTAGGTAGACAAAATTGGTGTGTAAGGTTGACCATAAAGGCTGCCATTATATTAAATGGATTTAATTTCTTTGTGTTTGCAATGGAAAAATTGCACTTTGGTCCACAGACCCTTTGTATGATGAGCATAATTAACATTGCACTACATATATACATAGAAGTGTAAATAATTACTTTGTCCATGTCCCTTACAAATAAGTCTGCAGTTCTTGAGTATTGAATATTCAGAGTGTTTGTTAGGATTTTGCCAAAAAAAGTCAGCACAAATTAAATTCTTAGCAAGCTGGTATTTTGAAAGGAGTATACTAATTTTAAAGTACACTTAACAAATATTCCATGAAATGTGGAAAATTGAAAGTGGTGATTAAAAACTAGAATTTGTAGAAAATTGATGACCATGAAGTCAGAATTGTTGATTCTTTCCAGAAATAATTGTCCAGGTGGCTTCTTTGAGGTTTATTAATAGGGTTAGCAATGACAATGGACATTATGCAAATAACTTAATACTCCTTTTTTGCTTGCATTCCTTTTTGACATGAAAGGCAAGAAAGGAGAGTATTATGCAACTAATAGGCCGTTATTTTTGTTTAATGGTTTGTTAATTAGACACCTTTAACACTCACGAGCAACGTGGAAGCCACAAATAAATTGTTTTACCTTGCCATGACTTGCAGATTTTGTACGTTTGATATCATATCTGTCTGTAGGATATTCATTGATTTAGCGTAAAGTAATAAAATAGAAATGGTTGTGTTAATATCCTGGAGATCTGAAGTGCTGAGTCATTTAACAGTACATGCAAAGTCTATGTGCTGGTACTACCTGAGATCAGGCGTGTGACCTTTCCAAACAAGGTCAGCACTAATGATTACAAACTGACAGATTTGTGTAATTAGGTTTAAATTTGTATACTTATGTATTGGACCATGGATCTTTACTTATCAGCCGGTCAGTTACTCTGCTTTGTCATTATTATTAATACTTTTATAAGCATTCTGTTTTGGTCAGTTTATGTAAAGGTAGTTACCTTTAATTGGAAAAAAGAAAGTAATTTTGTCATAATCATGATTATTTGTCCAAAAGTAAAACAGATATTTCCAAAAATAAAACAAACTGCATGAGTGATTATTTTGTTCTTCTAATTTGCTGTAAAAGAATGTGAAATAGAGAATTAAGGGACAGGTGAATGTTTTTGATGACTGAATCTGTGTTAATCCGTGCCACTTGGTCCCTTGTCCTTCGTCTGGATTCTCCCAGGCTCCATTGTGATCGACCCACAATGCCCTCACGTTCGCATCGTACTCCAGAAAAAAGTAAAATTGAAACATGATTTGGAAGGAACAACTATGTTATCGATGAATAGACAGCTCATTTGCATTGAAAATAAAGACAGCCAAAAAGTGCTGCCTCATTCAGGCTTACCTTTCCTAAGGTCACATGACGTGAGATTAGTGTAGCGTTGCGTTCGGGAGCTCACACTTCATAATTGAGTCCAATCATTGACATGCTGATCATTATTGTTTTAACTTGGAGTTTGATTTCCAATTTAGGAATTTTAAATCGGTCATTGAATTCTAACATAGGACATTGGATATGGACATCAACTCAGGCAAGGTTTTATTGAGATTTTTTGGGGAAATCTATTAATTTGACAGTTCCATTCTTTGGGTAACCGGTATAGATCAGTTTACCACCTCTGTTGTTTATATTGAACTGTTTAGAATATTTTTGTCTTCAGGTGACTTAAGATAAAATTTCATGGATTGGGTTTTTAAGAATTGATCAGGCAAAGATATATTTGATTTAAGTTTATTTGAGGTTTTCATTGATCAATAGTAAACAGTGGCAAGGTTATGTCAATTTGAATGGAGTGAACATTCAATGGATAAAGAAGGTTGGTATGAAGGGTTTATATCATTAAGTTTTAGTCTGAGGATGTATATGACAAATCCCAGGTTTCTGTATTGAATTGACATATTTAAGTCTTCTCTTTTGAAAAAATCTCTCTCAGTAGGATCTTTTTATGGACTAGGTAAATTTGGTTTTAATAAGTGTTTAGTGTAAAAACTGTAAGCTCTTGTTCATTATAGGCATACATGACATGCAGTTAATAATATAAAATTTCAGCATTTTATTAAAATATTAATCAAAATTAGTAAATGACTAGAGAAGTAATGGTTGATTTTTAATTACAGGAATTTACACAGTATTAGTTCAAAACAGCATCAATCCACAATGTATTCCTGAACTGACGTCAAGAAAACAAATTCAAAATGTCTGCACAGGAAGTGTATGAAGCGAAGTTGCAGACGGACTCAACATCTTGTTACCGCCCAAAGGCAGTAACCACCGAAAAGCCTGCTGATGGGAGCATGCATTTTACAATCATGAAGCATCCAAAAGAAGCTTTAGATGTGATGAGTAACCTCAGAAGACTTACAAAACTCTGTGATGTCACACTCTTGGTGGGAGAGGAAAAGTTCCTTGCCCACAAGATTGTGTTAGCTGCGGCCAGTCCATACTTCCGTGCCATGTTTACAGGAGGAATGAGAGAAGAAGAAATGACCACCATTCCTTTACATGGGATCACACCATGTACGTTAGCAACACTCATAGAATTTGCATATACGGCAGAAGTTCGCGTCAGTGAAATGAACGTTTGTTATCTTCTGCCAGCAGCCACCATGTTTCAGATGAACCATGTGGTAGAAGCATGTAGTGTCTTTCTAGAACAACAGCTTGACCCTAGTAACTGTATTGGTATAGCAGATTTTGCTAGTGAACATGGTTGTGTAGAATTACAGACAAAGGCAAGAGAATATATATTCAAAAATTTTTCTGAAGTGATAAAATGTGATGAATTTTTAACGCTTACACCCTGTCAGCTTATAAACCTTATCAAACATGATGAGCTGAATATTCGATGTGAATCGGAGGTGTTCAATGCTGTGATACGATATGTTCAACATGATCCAGATAAGAGGATCTGCAAATTGGAGGGACTACTTTATGCTGTGCGGTGCCATTTTCTGTCTCCTAAGTTTCTGGAGAAACAGTTAAATCATTGTAATATTCTCAAGAAGATGCCCCAGTGTCAAGAATATTTATCAAAAATCTTTCAAGGATTAAAACTTCATCAGACCTGCCCTGAAAAACCGAGAAAACCATGTTCACCTCTAGTCATATTTACGGCCGGTGGTTATTTGCGACAATCCCTCAGTAATTTTGAATACTATAACCCTTCCTCAAACCAATGGACAAGACTCCCTGAATTACCCACTCCCAGGAGTGGACTGTGTTGTTGTATTGTAAAAGGCTCATTTTTCTGTGTTGGAGGAAGGAACAATTCTCCTGATGGAAATATGGACTCCAATGCCTTGGATGTGTTTGATCCCATTAGAAATATCTGGCTCTCCAGATCTCCAATGACTGTTCCTAGAAATCGCGTAGGAATTGGTGTGATCGACAACATGATTTATGCTGTTGGGGGTTCACAAGGGCAGCAGCATCATGCTTCTCTGGAAAGGTAATTTTTCGTAGGTGATTGATCAAGTCATTGTTTTTTTACTTCCTTGTATGCTAGAGAGTGTAAACCAACTATTATTTGCGACAACTTTATTCAGTTTGAAATCTAGCTGCGATATTTTATTTTCATGATAGAGGTATATTCCTCATAATTGCATTATTGAAAAAATAGTTCGTGACTAGAAATATTTGCGAGTAACATAAGGTTGTGCACTTGCGAATATAAGTTGGTTTACAGTATTGATTTTGGTTTACAGTAACATTTTGTACTGTATTAGGATTCTGGTAAGGAAAGATATTACATTCTTCCTTCAGTCTTTGAGATTTGGTTCTGGGGCATTTGTAACTGGGAAAAGTAACAAAATTTAATTCAAAGTAGGTAATGCCAAATCAAGTAAAAGAAAAAAAATGAACATAAGCATTTTCATTATGGAAACCAAACTTGACATGGAAGCTGTATTGGAACTCTGAAGACTTCAGTTTTTGCTTAAAGTAAAATGGTTTAGAGCCCAGTGAATGAATTAAAGATTTTAGTATAATACACTATATACATTTCACGTTTTATCTTGGCCCCAGTATGAGGAAAATAACATCTCCAATTTGAGAAAAAAGGCTTTTCACATTGAGGAGTTGAAGAATATCAGCCTTAGTTTGACAAAATTCAAAGCTCTGCATTATGATATGCCATAGAATTCAAAGCCCTGCATTATGATACGTCATACATGTTCTTATTTTAGAGGGATTAAGAATTCATGATTGCATTAAGTAGGTTGTGACCTACAGATGGACTACAGAGTTAAAGACATTTAAGGTTCATTGACCTTTTGATAAGAGAGGTAACTGTCACTAAAATAATTGACTGTTATTCCCTTAAAATGTGTAGTATGCAATAGTTAAAAGGCCTTAATAGTACCTAAACAGCAAAAGATAATTATCAGGAAGGACCTTAAACAAGAAACTGCTAAATATACATGTGTTATTAAGAACTGACATCAGTGACCAGTCCCAACAGCAGAAACTCTGAGAATGAACCATGTAGTCAGAATTGTCATCAAAAAAGACGTCAGCAATATTGATTATGTAAACTGATTTTTTGTTTTCAATGAAGTAAATGTTTTGTAGTGTTTAACAGTATACACTGTATTAGCCATGGCAAGAAAAAGGGGGGGGGGATGGGGGGTGCTTTAAATGATGACTTAGTTAAATGGAAAAATACACAAGTCAGGAATCAATGTAGATGTGCAGATTTGCACTCAACAAATTGAACAAAATGATCAGACTACATGTCTGTTGGCCACTTATCATGACAAAAGTATCGCTTGTCTTCAGGGAAAAATATCATGTTAATTTGGAAAATATCCAGGGTGGCATTGTCTGCAAATTCCATTAAAATTCAGATTCATGAATAATAAAGCCTGTACAATCCTGACTTGTTTCCAACAAGTGTGGAAGATTGTGAAACCCTATCCTGATATGATGAGTAGTATTTGTACCCAAGTCTTTGTGTTGCCTCGTCTTGGGAGTCGGAGCCAGCCTTTGTTAATCATAGCAATAATAAGCGGAGTTACTCAGCGCTTTATGGAACTTTGTGCATTCAATGGCTGCAATATCAGCGTATCAGGGTATTGTTGCTGTGAGGCCTTTATCTCATCTATGTATCCCTAAATTGGCATGCTCTCCTCATGACTTGCAAATGCATATAGTGATTTGTTTAAGATTAATAGACAATGTGCCCCCAATTAAATTGACAGAAACATTTAATGATATACTTATTAACTTCTTGCAAATAAGGACAGTTGAAGAACTTGAAGTTTAGCATCTCAGACATTGATATTTTTATTTAAAACTAAGGATATTTCAAAAGTTACTATGTGGTGCAAAATACAATTGTGTTTCAACTAATATAGCTATCACAAACAATTAGATATCCCAAGTTTTTGTGACAACCCCTCTTGGTTTTAGTTTCCAATGTTTTACTGAATTTACTACTGGAAGCAATTGTATCATCCATGCAGTTCTTGCTTAGTTGCTTAGAAGGCTTCTGAGTCCAAACTATCCAGATTACTTTTAGATCAAGAAGATAATAAATTTTAATTATTTGTTATCAAATAAATATACTTTTACAATTTTTTTGAGATTTTTGCAGAATTATCTCATATTCACATTCTTGTTCATTTGCAGGTATGACCCAGACTTAGACAGATGGACAATGCTAGCTTCAATGGCCACCAAGCGAATTGGAGTGGGAGTCGCAGTGGTGAACAGGTTACTGTATGCTGTTGGTGGTTATGATGGCAGCAACAGGTTACGGAGCATGGAATGCTACGACCCAGAGAAGGATGAGTGGCACTTTGTGGCTCCAATGAACACAACACGCAGTGGTGCTGGTAAGTCTTAGATTTTTTTTCTAACAAAATGCCAATCATTGTTATAGAGAAAAAAATAGATCTATATAGAATGTAACAAAATATCAGAGTAAATTTTTAGATAATTAAATATTTTAGGAAATCATTAAGTCTTTGTTTTAACTTGCTTTTTCTTTTACAGGTGTGATAGGTATGGACTGTTATGTGTATGCAGTTGGAGGCTATGATAGTAGTTGTCAGCTTAGCTCTGTTGAGAGATATTGCACCATCACTAATCAGTGGGAGTTTGTAGCTCCAATGAAGAGTCCCAGAAGTGCACTAAGTGTGGCTGTAGTCAACAATAAACTCTACGCTTTAGGTCAGTCTCATATTGAAGAAAATTTATATTTCCTGTCTCCATAAAACTGAAAGTTACTTTAAAAATTATTTAAATATAAGACATATGTATTGAAAATCAATAAAAATTATATTACTGGTAACCAGAAGTTTTAATGATGAATTCCGTTTGTCTTTACAGGTGGTTATGATGGACAAGAATTTTTATCAACAGTAGAGTGTTATGATCCTGACAAGAATGAGTGGGCAGAAGTGACTAACATGACTTGTGGCAGAAGTGGACATGGTGTGGCAGTGGGCGCTGAACCCTGCCACTCCTGACAAAGGTCAAGGTCACTAGTATAACCGTCCAATCTGCTATCCCAGTGCATGTGATATGAACTGCTCAAATCCTGCATAATACACCACCGGCACCAAGCAAGAAACTTGTGAACAAGGACTAGTCCTAGAGTGCTTACAGGCCATAGAGGGATTGAAGAACATCCAAGAAATATAAAAATCAAGCTCAAAAACACCAAACTAGAACAAATATCACAGTATTAGTCAGCACTGTTATGTTGATGCTTTCCTGTTTTGTAACATTTCATTGAAAACAAATGGAAAATTTGATTATCTGCTACATCCTTTGCTCCAATCAATGCTGATTTAAGTAAATGAAGAAACCAATTACATGAAATCTGTTTCACCATTGATTTAAAAAAAAAAAAGGAGAATCATAAATCTTAGATGAAGTAAAAAATTATTGAAAATATGTCGACAGATTGATCATTTTTGTATTTTATTATGGTGCAGATGTGTATTGAAGTTGTTAGGATTTTTTTTCCCACAGTATATTGAATTCATGTACAATGAAAACATTGTAATTACAATGAAACATTTAATCTCTTACCTGATGCTAGTAAAAGAGCACTCTGGGTCAAGTGTTTAACCTTGTATCATGGTGACCTCTCTATTTATTTTATCATTGTTTTTTTTATTAAAGGTTTGTGATATTGATCAGTAATTGACAAAGACAAGAAAATTTATTGGTGCTATTGTTGTTAAGCAGGCAAGTTAGTCTGCCGAGTTATTAAGGGGTGTCGTCACATCCAAATAAAAGGATGTGGTAGCATCCAGTTGTTATTCTGTGTATTCTGCTGCGTACCTAATTGTCAACTTAGAGAATTCCCTAAATTTCCAATAGAAAGTATAAATTGTTAAGGATTTTCAGAAAAAAATTATTGTACACTTAATTAATAAATAGTTATTTTATTTCATTTATCAGATAATATATTGTACGATGCTAGAAAACAAAAATGAAGTCAAAATCACATATCATTTAAAGAAAAAAAAACTTTGCTCTCTTTTCCTTCATTTTCTTATTCTTGGAAGGAACAATGCTGCGTTGTGAATTTTTTTTTTTATATACCAATTGAAGCTACCATTCATTATATATATTTTCTTTTTTTTTTTACAAAACCTGATAGATATAGTTGTGAAGGACGATCCTGGATATTTTGATCGGGATCTAACCATTTAATTCGTTGTTGTTTATGTTATGTGTTTTGTGTATGCAGTCCTCGGTGTGAGGACTATATAAGATCATTTAAATGCAGTGTTACTCATGTTACGTTAATTTTTGAAAAAATAAGAAATAATGCATAAAAAAAATGTGAAAAAATAAAAATATGATACATTAACATGGTTTTTCTCTGATTTGTTTCCGAGAAAAGAATGTTTAAAATGCGAAACATCTGAGAGAGTTGGCAATGGATGAAACAAGATCCCGGATTTGGATTTTTATGAAGACGTCTGCTTATTTTCTCGTGAAATGAATTGCATGCTTTACAGCTGAGGTGTTTTTATATCATTTTTCGCAGAGAAAGTCGTCAAAGTGATTTTTTTTTTCAAAACAGGCATTATAAATTCAGTGATGTATTCAAATATTTTATGTAAATTATGAGGGGAATTAAGTTGAGTAAAACGCTTAAAAATTCAAAATAACATTTTAAAAATCATTTCTGGATGGAGACTTTAGTAAGTTACAGAAGATTAATTTTTATAAATAGGAATCCTGAAATACAAGTGCAGGATGATGAAGCAGAAGGCGAGTTGTTATACAAGAACCATAACTCTGTATCAACGTAATTATTGATCTTTCAAATAGAAAAAAATGTACTCTATGGATTAAAAAACTGACAATGACATCAGCATTTTTTAGAAATGTACTTTTCTTCTTGTATTCGAAAACAGAGTGATAAAGCAGACTGAAGCATATCAATATATGGGTTTGATGCTATGTTTTAATTGTATTCAGTGAATCTGAATAGGAAAGGAGGTATTCATAAGTTTCTGATTTTTTTTTCTTAAGTACGCAAAATAAAACAAAATTTTATTCACTTTTCTCAAAACTAATACATGACATCAAAATTTTGATCACTACTTATTGAAATAAAACATCAGTTAAGTTGATAGCATTAGATCTATTAATGATGTACACATTGTACATTATACATAGGATATATTTCATCATTGATCACTACAGTACTCAAATAGGGACTAATAATTCCCTTCTTTCAAAAATCAACTAAGTGCACGTATGTAACACAGCACATAAGAATATTCCAATGTCCATTAAGCATGTCTGTGACTTTCAAATGACGTTGTTCAGGGTCATAAGCAAATTGGCTTGAACAAGTAAAAATAAATAAACATCTATTAAAAATAAATAAATGTTACACCTCCAATTTCTTATACCTAAAACTTGTCCAAATGAGAGATACTTCAAAAGTTATGAGGTTAGATTTGCAGTCAAAAACTAGAGATTAAACTCACCCCCCTAAAAACTAAGGCCTTTGTATGTTTGAAGCGCTATCTACAGGTAACTTATTAAAGATAGATCTAAAGTCCTTGAGAACTGACGTAACGGAAACTTTACAATAATTATATCGGGTTTCTGTTAATGAAAGAAGAGATGGCCTTGAATTTTTCAACATATATGCTATATTTTGTTTTACAATTTGAAGTGTTGGTATTACAAGAATTAAAAACTGTAGACAGTACACAAGAAACAACGAAATGACAAATTACATATATACCAACAAAGATGCCGTCAACTTCATTACAAATAAAATCTGCCAATAATCATGAAACAGTAGAATAACTACATGGTTTACATGTTGTGCACAGGTAAACAATATCCATTGTACATATACATGTATATCAATATCCATTGACGCAATAAGTCGAGTAAGGAACTATATTTCGTTGTCACATATCTACATACTCTCTTTGTTATGAATAATAAATTACCTCAGTACTTTTACTGACATCTTTTTATCGTTGATATGAAATACACCTACTCAGTTCAAATGAGAACTACATACCAAAATGATACTAATGAATATGAAAATGACGAAAATAAAGAGAGATGTTCGAGGATGAAAGAAGAAATCCTTAATAACTATAGTTTTTATCTAAATTTTATTATCTTTTCCCAATATCATGGTTAACGCATCTTTGTGGAGGCGTCAGATGGCGTTCTTAGATTTCTGTACTTGTAACAATCACGCTTTCGTAACTCAGACTTCGATCTATGGTGTACTCGTCTGGCGGGAGGGGAGATTGGGGAGAGGGTTGCTTTTTTTCATTTTCTTCCCTGCAAATAAAGTATAAAGCTGATTTATTTATTCCTCTCCAACTGAAAAAAGCATCAACGTTAATTATCAACGTGAGAGGATGATTTTTTTTTAATCCTATAGGTTTGTCTCTAAGTTTGTCGAGATTTCTACACCCAAACCAAATCTACGGGTATTCAGATCGGCACCGTACTTGTATACACTCATTTAAACTATTCAGTCAACCTTTGTTACAACTTGAGGTCCATTATACAAATTACAGTGCATGCATAAATTATGTAATCAAACCTAAACTAATGCAGTAAAGTGTATTGAAATATAAAAAAAAGTTTAAATTTCCTTGTAAAAGTTAGAAACTCAATTCTGAGTTGCTGGCCCTGTACCTATACTTCATGATTACTGATACACATGTATTTTAGCCGTGTACCCGGGACACTTGCCTCATTTTTATCAGCCGCTCCTTGTTATAGGCTCGTCTCCTCTCGTTTATTGGGTAGGACCACAAAAAGAGGAGGGCAATGAGGACAAAGACGACGGGTCCAGGCACCACCAGGAGGCGGAGGGCGAGGTCCACGTCCTCAGGCTGTTTACAGTCCCCACTCTTGTAACCACCTAGTCTGAAAAGTCACAACTCTAACAATCATGTACATTTGTACATTGTAAATCGCTAATCGAGCAAAAAGTTGCTCAGTATTGTACTATAACATTTGGTATATATGTAGAATGGGGTTATAAAAAATGGAAATTATGAAAAATCTGGCGATTTATAACAAAATTTTTAACTGTTTAAGTTGGTGTTCACACAGAATGATATGAATGAAATCTGCACATGTATGTAATAGGATTCAAAATGTAAAACACCCTTCTAAACTCAGATTACATTGCAATGTGCACTAAAGTGTATGGTTCCTGAAGCGAGAATGCAAGAATATAATGCAACACCACAAAAATCTTGACAGAGAAATAGCTAGAAAGACAAAAGATCATAACTATATAGCCATCTGCGATAGCCCCAATTCCATCCATACAAAACACTAACTGTAGTGCCATCTGTGATAGCCCCAGTCCCAAGCCTGCCGCCAGTTTGTTGAAGAAAACGTAGAAAGAATAGAAAATGGCGTCTTTTCTTTCTCCCGTAGCAAGCATGAATTCGTCTAACACATCTGGAAGCATAGACCTACAGAAGCAATGAGATATAGATTTTCAGATGGTTTAATGTATCTATAGTAATATTGTATGAATGAATTTTATCATTGGTTCGTTTGATATCAAAGTATGGTAAAAACTGAAGTTTGATACCAAAGTATAGAAATGCGGATAGACCGGGTCTATTAAAAACTCGGGTAAATCTGAACTTTCTAATAATAGATCAGGGAAGTTTTGTTACGTGTAAAAATGAACGTGATTCGCTACCATTCAAGATCATTTCCCATGCAGTTAATGATTTTAATTAGCGAATACTCGGATTGACGGTACTTTCTAATAATAGATTTTTTTTTCTTTACATTTCAACAATCTTCCTTTTAAAAAAAAATATTTTAACAAATATAGCTTTGTAGAAAATAATATAACAAATGTAGCCCTTTCATTCGGTCAATCCATAGATATATCGACTTGGCAGAAACGCATATCGACCTCGCACTTCATCCATAGATATATCGACTTGACAAAAAAGCATATCGACCTCGTACTTCATGCTGGGTCGATATTCTTTTCTGACAAGTCGATATATCTATGGTTCGACCTCATGAAAGGGCTATATTTGTAAATATATATTTAGTACTATGGGTTTTATTTTATACTGAATGATTTTCAGAATTCTACATTTTCCCCAATACCATCATATTGCTCACTGGGTTGGGAAATATATATATGTATCTTACCAAGGGCACAGAAGAGCGACAGCTATACTAAAGCCCGCCAAAACTAGAATTGGTATATACACGTAGATGTTGTCATCAATGTAGAGCTGGGATATAAGTATTGGAATAAAGAGCTGTAAAAAAGGAACTTACAGCTTATATTTATGTTTTGCAAGTGTGTATTTTATTAGCTCTTTCATTTTTTAAACAATAACTTACTATCATTCCTGCTGCAAATGCCGACTTTTTACCAATTTTCTTCAGAATAAGTTGCCAAATCGGCATGGACAATATCGAAGACACCTAATGCACAAGAACATCTTAATTAAGCACTTTGGGTTCTTAAAGCTGTAATTTATGTGCATCCACTTCAAATTGAGTGCAAAATATTCTGAGGTTAACCAGATTTAAGATGCAAAAAGAAGCCTGGTATTTTACCAATGTCAGTCGTGAAAGTTCAAGTCTACTGATCGCATGGTATGCACAAATATTGCAGTTCGTATTCTTTTTTTTATTTTCTTGGTTGTCACACGATTTGTATTTTGCAACTCACCAGTAAAATGATAATAAATATGGAAAAATCGTCTCCGAGATCCAGGCTATGTGTACAATAAAGAGCTAAGTTTCCCTGGACAATCTACAAAAGAAATCGTTACACCCTGCTTTTGAAAACCCTTCATAATCGAGATGAGTTGTAAAAATTCTCCCTCATGCAATTTATGTTCAACGTAAAGAAAAAATGTTTTATTTTCTTTAAAGAGGTAAAAAATCGACAGAGCATTAACTGATTTACAAATGTATTATTATTTATTATTCTGTTTAGCGAATTTGCAAAAGTGAACAATTTACCACTCGATAATCTAGCTGCAGTATTGTAGTTCTCTGGAATAGATAATTCGAACCAACATACCAGTCAGAGACTGTCTGAGTTATCTGCTAAAGTACTGCAGCTACCGGTAACTACGACAAGTCTGCACTTTATGAAAATGCACTTAATATACATGTAATCTATAAAAGCACAGCGAAATTGCAACCGAATCTCGGGGAAGTGCATTACTTCTCATCAGCCAGACTATCCTAGACAAAGGACAAGATAGGCTAAGGCCCTTTTTTTGCCCTTGTTTTTCGGTGTCTCTAAGGATGATGTGATAATTCATCATTAGAAACCTATAGTCATTCCTGTTAAAAAATGAATATTGATTCTTAGTGATAGGATTCACAGAGGTCACAGGAAGGTCACAAAGTATGCCAATTTCCGATATTTCTCATTTTTATTCAAATTTTTATCAATTTTAAAGCATATTTATTTTTTAAAGCATATTTATTTTCTCACAAAACACAAACTTGCATATCAACCAATTTTATATATTTCATTTTGTATTGGAAGCATCTTTTATAAAATCTCAGATAGGCAAGCTTGTGCTCTGTGTTTTCCGACGCGAAAATTATCTCATCTTTGACGAAATTCCACCAAATCGGAGGAAATACGGACAATATTATACGTTGTAACTCTCTTATTATCTCCGTCTAGGCGTCGAATCAGAATTAGTACTGGTTTTAAAACAACCAACAATTAAAGTTCTTAATTGCAAACTTTTACAATTTTAGCTGTGTTCCGATTTTTATGTAAAATAATGAGCCAAATTTGGCCGTTACCATACCTTGTCCTTTAATGCAATTTGGATTCTGAACCTGTTTTTAATGATTATTATTCTTTGTTTGATGGGGGAAAAACATCATCAGTTAAACATACGGCTATCGCTAGGGATAGGAAGAGGAAGCAGGCTGACAGTTGGACATAAGGCTTGAAGGTCAGAACATCACGGATTCCCGACAGAAAACTGCCATGTCTTCCATCGATAACATCTTAAATTAAAAAAAAATACAAAAATCGACTACCGATAGCACATTAATCATAGATTTATATATAACTAGGGGGTGACAATTTAGATATTTTAGAGAGATGAACCGGAAAAGTACTTAGTAATGTTAATATGATAATGTCGGGATAATTTATGGATTTAACACTATCTATCTCCCCCAATCAAACTTTAACACTACAAATATAGCCTTTGAAATTTGATCAATATATTCTGATTTAAATTCATGCTGCTGGGATATTTTATACCATCGCATTCTTTCGTCCCCAGCACACAGACGACAGCACAGAGGACATAGACGCTGATGACGACAATAGATCCCTCAATATAGGACCATTTCTGTAAAATGTCATGGAAAAACCTTGACTTCAACACGATTATAAACTTTGTTCGTCTTGGAGAACATCCATCATCACACCTTGATTGAATTTCTAATGCCCCTTTGGAGTAAATATGTATTTTATAACATGTATATCTTCATCAATATCCTATAATTCATCAGTCCTTCCCTTGGAATTAAAAGAATTTAGGAAATACTTTTATATCAATGATAAAATTGTTAATGAATTCATTTTATTTTACATTTTTCTCATTTTTTTTTTCAATATCAGTCTTCGGCATTACATTGTGCACATATGACATGAACAAAGACCTGGCTGTTTAGTTAACCCCCCAAAGGACACTCGTGATGCTGGCATAGGATTACGCAACCACATGGATTGCATTTAGCTAGTATGATGTGAAAGGGACACCCCAATATACCCCAAAGAGCAATGTTTCTTACCTCCAAATATTGAACTCTACAAATTACCTCATCTTTCAGTTCATCCGGAGACGCTGTTGATGATTCGTCTCCATCTTCCGTACAGTCGCCAGCGACTCTGGTGGAGTTGACAAAAACACCCTGCACTGTAGCAGCCATTAGCACCCCTAGTGCTTCAAACACCATTCCTACAACCCAAGTCATTCGATTACTAAGTCAATGCATGTTCAAAAAACAAAATTCAAAGAATATTGCAAGGATACGCATAATCATCTTTTCTTTGTGTAGTCAGCTTTTGCTAAAATTTCATAAGTATAACAGTGATATTGTAAACCAGCTTGTATTCATGTGCGAGAAATATCCTCGACTTTGGGGACTTTCCTCTGCTCACAAATATTTCTCGCCGCGAACCATGTAATTATTCTGTGTACTAATATCTATGAGGTTTCCTCAGTCCCAAAAATTAATAATAATTTTTATTGCATAATACAATCCATCATAATAATAGCCTAGGATGATTTTTCAATATAAGGAATTGCTAATAAAATTTGTCCCTAATAATAGTAAGTTAAAACAGTTTTATACTATGTAAATTGTGGTCCTAATTGTAATAAAGAAAAAAGTCTCACGGTAGGCCGTTGCTGAATCCCTGTCTCGTTGGTTCTTACTGATGTACATCGTCAGGGAGGTGTAAGGTACGTGTATTCCCTGTAACAATACTTCATGTACATTCAGTGGAAGATTTGTCATTCTAAATTAAAAATAAAAAATAAATATAAATCGTTCAACTTGGGGTTTCCTCACCGATAGGAGACCTTGAAATAAGCAGTAGAAGACGAAGTACCAAGCGACTTTTTCCTCATCTGTGAAATCAGGAACGTACCAAAGGAAAAAATACGCAGTGCAGGCCAAGGGTGTCGATAGCAGTATCCTGTTAAGCAGTTAAAATACGAAAAATGTTCATTGTAGTTAAATTTGGATCATGTTCTGTGCCTTTGCAATTCATATGAAAATCGTTCAAGATTGTCATACCATGGCTTAAACTGTCCAAATCTGGTTCGTGTTTTGTTGACAAAATAACCACAGAGTGGATCTGTGATTGCATCCCATACTTTGCCTCCAAACACGATGATGGCTACATAAGAAGGCTGAAGCTGGTTCAAGAAAAATTAATAATGGCAAATTTTGATGTTCGATTGTGGCAGGAATTTTCTTAGATACTGTAAATCAACTTTTATTCGCGTGCAAGAAATATTCGCGAGTTTAGCGACCAACTTTTTAACTCGCGAATATTAATCGCCGCGAACCAATTACTGGGCTTATTTTGATTAGTATTTGTAGAGAATGTTTCCTCAGTCGCGAAAATTAATTGATTTCAAACTGACGATTCGCGAATAAAAGATGACGCAAATAATAGTTAGTACCACAGTTGAATTGAGTATGGATATATTTTTTTCAGATACTATATTTGAATATTTGAATTGAGTATAAAAATACAAATCGAAAATTTCCTTGTTAGAGTTGTTCAATATATATACGTCTACCAACTTCTTTCGTAATACATGTATCTAGTTGAAACTATCAACGATGGGTACTTACACGGTGCAAAATGGCTATAGGGATTGCATTCGTTCCAAAAATCATGTACATGTATATTTTTCATAAATTCCTCGGTTATATGGTCTTGGAGGGACGCACAAAAAAGGTCACCGACCTTGACAATTCCTAGAGTTGATTTGAAACGAAATCTCTGATTTTTTCAGCATCAAAGAAAGGGACATAACAGAAGGTGAACTTTTCCCTTCCTCTGGAATTATAAGGTACTCTGAAGACTTCAAGTGTAACAAGGCTTAAAACACTTCTGGGGGAAAAAGACTGAGCATATTTCCAGAAAACATCTATGCCCATTTTCTGAAGAAGCAACTTGGGGGGGGGGGTCAAATATAGAAAATATTGCATTCATAAAAATAAGCGGTCTTTATACACACGTTTTATCACTGAAAGTTGTATGCGTTTAGACAGCAAATCAAGGTATGCTCAATCAAAGTACCGAGGGTACTTGAGGCTTGAATGAATAGGCCCAATATTAAATGGACTGTAGCAGTATAATTTTGTATGGAATTTACTTTTCATTTAAATGGCTATTTGAGATTTTTTTTAAATTAATTTTAAAATCTCAAAAGCATTCCTTAGGAAGCACAGAAATATATATGCAAACTGAAAGAGATCTAAAAAAAATCAAATTCTATGAGAGTTTCGCAAATACTTTCAACTGGAGATTAGAGGGTGCAAATACTACAGATACGATCGACTGCAGTTTTTTTTTTTAAATTTGTTTCAAGATCGTATTGCTAGCAACCTCAGTAATGCATTGCCGTTGATTGTTTCGTGGCTACCCCGTGCGTCACAGAGCTAACTCTGTTTTTGTTTTATTTTGTTTGTTTGTTGATTAACGTCCCTCTCGAGAAATTTTTACTCATATGGAGACGTCACCACTTGTCGGTGTGGGTTACAAATTTAGACCTATATTTGGCACTCAGGGCTATCAAGCAGTGAGGGAAGTTTTTCGTACCAGAACCTACTGCGACACGGGACCTCGCGTTTATACGGTCTCATCTGAAGAACCGGTCTCTACGTCCCGCAGTGGATTCGAACCCGCGACGTAAGGATTTAAAACTCCTTACTCCGCGACTCTAGAGCAAACGCTCTAACCACTGCGTCACGCAGACTCCGTATTTTCTCCACTACTCACGCTGTCGAAATAGTCTGCCCAAACATTTCTCCGCAATCTAGTTTTTCGTTCATGAAGTTAGGTAAAGATGATTAAAGTACCTCTATTAGATACAAATAATTACAAATACATCGATTCAAAAACAAAATTAGTCAACCTGTCCTCTAAAAAATAAAAATAGTTTAATATACTTAGCATGGATTACATTTCAAATCGTGGGAGCTTGTTTGCATTCTGTATTTACCAATAAGAGATATTCGTTATTGCAGCTTGTATATAAGACGTTGACAAAAGGAAAGATCAAAGCCTGACCCCCCCACCCCCACCCCCACCCTACCACGCACGCATTGGTATGTACCTCAGCTACTTCTAGTAGAAAAATGTTCAGGAAAAAATTGATGACTGTGTTTGTAATTTGATAAGGTGGTCCTCCGACTGCATAGCACAACTTTCTCCAAAAAGGCAGAGGTGGGGAAGTGACGTCACATTCCGCAAGTAGGGCTTGGTGCTCACCCTAGAAAAACAGTTATAGTGTCTAAAAACTGTCTATCACTTGGTGGAGTTGTATGTCCGCAAAATTAATGATAATTTCTGTACATAATAGGAGGGTTAAATAAGGGATAGTGAAAAAAGGGAAAACATACTGCACCTGATTCTCAGTCATAATTGATGAATCTTATTTTTAGTCCACGCGGTAACAGGATACAGTGCAGTCATCCTCCAAAACGTTATTTCATTGATGCTTTTCTGACCATGTTTGTAACGAACCTTCGTTTAAATAATTAACACATTACACACAATGGCTTTACGCACCTCCTCATGTTATGAAGCAATATTTTGTTGATAACAGTTATCAACAAATAAATAAAGATACGAAGATTCGCTAATCAGGAAGTTAAATATTCAGTAGCATTTCACGTTCTTTGGCGATAATTGCATGTATTGTTACTATTATCTGACAGATAATATTATGATGTGCTGTTACTTTTTTTTTCTTCACGACCTTTGTTTTTTGTTTGATTTTGAAACACACTTTATGTTTCAAAAATATTTCAACTTTTCAATTAGAGGTTATAACCTAATAATATTTAATTGAATTAGTCAAATTGTCCTACTTCTACTGAGATGAAGATAAATGAAGCCCCATGACGATCGCGATCATAGGGGCTTGTCTCAGACCCGTAGCAACGGTTTCAAAAGTGGTGGAGGGGGACCTCCCAAAATTATCCGACAAGCAAAAAAACAAAAAACAAAAAAAAAAACAAAAAACAAAAACAAACAAACAAAAAAAAAGTTTATGTCACAAAAAGTTGGTTAGGACCCCCCCCCCCTTTTTCGATCCAGCTCGCCTCCCCAATGTCAAATACTTGCCGACGCCCCTGGTCGAGTATTAGACAAAGTCCCTTAGGTGCACACGTTAAAGCGTGCCACCCCTCCACCGCCGGCGGACCGACGATGGAGGTCGGGAGTCCAGCTCCCCGCCGTTGCGGGAAGCCTCTTTGATACAAGGCTGTATTCAGAAAAAAAACCCATGAAATTTTAACAAGTATCCCTCATTACTAAATGAGCTAAACAACCAATTACTTTTTGGTAGTACGTGTACTTAGCATTAAAAAGGAACATTACATTTTTAAAAGGTCATCCAAGAAATCTTCATCTTTCTACTTTGAGTTTTGCTATTAAGGACTGGATTACTGTACGATGTGTAAAGATATAAGCAAGATTCCTAATTTGGTGTGCACAATATTTCTTGGCTAATTCATGAATATAACACTGTCTAAAATGTAGTTTTCCATAGATATAATACCTAGAAAAACTATAGTGTGAAAATAACCCAATGTAAATATTCACTATATTCATGGTGTTACTTAGTCCATGAATTCAAGAAACAGTAATCAAGTTTTCAATATAAGGATGTGTTTTTTCCCCTCAAATATTTGCCTCCATCACCATTAAGAGATACACTTTACTCTGTCACTTCAAAAATGAAAGTTATACTTATTTAACTATTTTAATTTCAATGTCTTTCTTGGATTTAAATCGACAGAGCTGTTCTTATAGTTAATCAGTGACACGTACTGTCTATTTCTTTAAGTAATCAAAACACAAGCCAATACAGTTATCGGTCCTGATAAACCTTCCGTAAACATTTATAACATCAGCCACTTAAACATGCATATTTGCTTACATTGACATCATTTAAAATAATTTGATTCATCAGACAGCAAAACGTTTAATTTCTGATGCAGAATTTAAGAAACAGCAAAACGTTTAATTTCTGATGCAGAATTTAAGAAACAGCAAAATGTTTAATTTCTGATGCAGAATTTAAGAAATAAAGGTCCAGACAAAATTCTGCTCAAAAGCTCAGGATTGAACCTCCTTAAATAGTGAATACATCTAGCTGATGGACACTGCATTATCTTAAGTGCACTATTTAATGCTGTTTTTTGCTTAATGATGTAATAATGCAAGCAGAACCAGTTAACTTTAATGGTATATAAATACTAGTACCTGGTCAATGTAAACGTAAAGTGTAGATATCTTCCAATTTTATTGATGGTGATAGTTCTCATAATTGCTTGAACAACCAATGTTTGAATTCATCAAACCCAGGTTGTGTCATAGGAGAGAAAAACATGGAAATTACAATGTGTGCAATTAATCCCCTACATGGTAGACACTGAACTTTGATTGCACTAACTTTTGAATAAGTTAAAATAAGATCATACACAGTATATTTACTGAAGTTTTACAGCTTGAAGAATGTTGGAAAATTGTATCATTATTCAAATTCATTTAATACAATAGTGATATAAAACAAATAATTCAGCTCTCTCATAGAATATATATAACAATGTAATAAATAGGCACAATGTGACTTTTTTTTCCATCAGAGTGAACTGTAGTGCAGAATGAATGTGGTAATAATGACAGATATTCTAACACTCACAAATATCAAACACAAGTACATGTATAGCATAAAACTGCTACAAATGAAAATTTTTACTCTGATAAAAATGCACTGTGAGTGTCTGTGAGCACTTGGAAAAATTAAAACTAAGGAAATTAAATGTCCAAATGACTAGGATGAATCTCTACAGTTCTGAACCATTCTCCTGAATCTGTCTGCTGAGGAAGGTCGGACAGATTTAGCAGAGCTTGGAGGAGCCACCACATGTGGAGATGCAGTCACCACACTAGAAGATGAGGGTGTGTTCACTTTGACCATTCCCACTAATCCTTGTTTACTGACATCTCCATGTGGGCCACCAAGTTTGTCTGTTATTTTGACAGATAAGTCATGTGACACTTTAACTGGTCTAATTTTAGAGGTAACAGTCTGAAAAGCATTGTCTGTCTGTGTGCCAGTTGGGCTATTTGCCCTTCCTGTGGGACTAGATCCTGACTTAGGACTTGGGTTCTTCATCTTTAAGGAAGACAGTTGTGGAGGAGGAAGTTTCCTGAAATCATTGTGGAACATTTTTTTTTAAGTTAAAGTCTGTGTACCTAGTGTATAAATACAATTCTGATTTTGCTTGTCTCAAAATAAACTCACTTGAAAGAATTAACTGGAGAGGGTTTCATAACAGGTGGTTGTGGAACAACATTTCTGGACAGCATCTCTTTTTCCATTTTTGATCTTTCTGTCTGCAACTCTGTAGTAGATTAAACAATTGCTTTACATAAGAGAATTTAGAATCTCTGAGACAAAATGCTTTTAGGGAGATAACCCTATTACAAATGTATATGAACCTGCTATAGTTGGCTCCCTTGAGAATGTTCCCTGTGTTTCAGCTCTATATGTTGCTTCCTCATCCAAACACTCATACAGGAACTGAATATCCTTTAAAAGGGTGTTGATTTCATCTTCTAAATATCCCCTAAAAGACATACCTGGTATTAATACATACTACAGACTGAACACCTCAACATTTTGAAACTTTGTATTTGGGCACCATTTGTATTTTTGCAATTTATTGAAACATTTTTTTAAAATATCTTCTAGGACTGTAAGAATTAGGGGTTTGATATTTAGGAATCATATTGTATGTCAAAAGTTTCTTCAGAAAAACATAAATCTGATTGATCAGAATGACCAACAGACACCCAATATTTAAATACTACAAGTTTAAATGCTAAGATTGTAACAATTTAAGATGTTGAGATTGATCTTTGAAATTCTTTTAAATTAGGATTATAGCAAAGAGCTAGGGACAAATTTTGAGTCCTTATAAACATATTTTGTTAAATCCAGTAAATTCATAATGTTTTAAAACAATAAGGGGGGGGGGGGGGTCAACTTGCTATAAATGTGAATTCATTACAGGCATGTAACCATGTTTTCCTGTAATTTTAAGATAAAAACAAGATTTTAAAAAAATTACCTTCATTTCAATAATATGATAACTTCAAGATAAATAAATGCCTCTCAAGGTGATGACACTGTAGCTTTTATCACATCCTAATTATTACTGTTACTGACAATATTAACTGGAACACTCTTACTTTTATGAAATAATAATAATTGCAATGTGTACTGTACTTTAGATGTTGGACGACTTCATCAAATTTGAGGTAATTCAGCTTATCTGTCATGGACTCAATTTCTTCACTAAGAGTGGAAGCAGCAGATGCTCTGTTAGAAGAATTAAAAATGTCAATTTTCAATTAAAAATTCAAAAACTTTTACCAGGAAATAACTCTTCTTTTTCTGTGAAAATGATAAATAATGTTTGTTTAAATCTTACATGTGAGTCCAATCAATCTTATGTTACAGGTGTTTCTGAAGCTTTTATTTCCTTGTTTACCCTGAGTCATTTGAGAATTTACCTATCACTTCCAGTAGGGGTACACATCATAGGTGTGTCCTGGCCATCTCTTGACATGGCAGTAGAGGGCCTGGATCCTCGGGCTGTACCAGGTCCTGATGGAAGCAAACAGATACATTATACATACAGGTAAGTGCTATCAAGTTAACCTTGTACATGTACTTGTAAAAAAAAAAGGAAAATGTATGGATAATGAACAGTGATTTATGGAGATAAATTATTTTCACAAAAAAATCTATTTTTTAACATACTGCTGACTTCCATGGTATAATCAAGTACAGCTTTATTGTGTCCTGTGGCTAGGATCCTCTCAGGATTTCTACAATGAAAGTTCTGCAGTTTGCAAGAGTTTTGTCCCTTTAAATGACTTCATGCATTTGCAACACTATTCAATATCAAATATAAGAATAGTTCTTCCATTAAAAAACATTTAGAACTGTATGCTGTGAAATATTCATAGAACGATCACTTACCAATATCAATTTCTGCATGGAATACCAACGTTTTTTAACCTTATGTATGGCAATATGTATAACTTTGATCTTTCTCAATACATTTGAATTCATAAATATTTGATGACAAAATACTTACAGTCCTTGTAACCTGGATTTTTCTTTGACATTCTCTATGAAGAACTGGATCTCCTGTACAAGTCTGTCTCTTAGCCCTGGTGGCTCAGGAAGTTTCTCTTTACAATTATCATTGGTCTCATCACGATAGTCCCTCCAGATGTCCAGAAGGGTCTCAATCTACAATTTTACAGTTCATATGTGAAACACTGAAGTATACATTGTGATTATATATTCTTCCTATTTTACCTTTAAATACATTTAGCCATACAATGAAACAATATATTATGATGACCAACACCACAAAAGTGCTTTTTCAGTAAAATTTATACCAGTAATAAACTTGTGGGAAAAGGATATTGCTTCCCTTTAACATTTATAAACTTCAAGTTTGAAAAGTTCATATCTGATGGAAAAATTGTTATATAAATGTTACAATAAGTGTTTTCAGCATATACTTATAAAAAATTACAGTATATATGAACAGAGATTTCTTTCACTTAATAAATTCAGTGAGAAAGCAATTTCAATAAACAATGCAATGCAGCTCCTTATTAATGTAAACCTTAGTAAACTAAAGAATGTAGATCTTGCCAAAAGAACCCTTTTCTGTAAGGATGATCCTATGGATTAATTTCATTTAAAAAAAACAAGATACTAAAATCTTGAGTTTAAAGTAAAATGTATTATAAACCTGAAATGAGCTACTAGTTAAAATGAGAATCATGATACCTGTCACATGCAACTATATAAGTACCAGTAGCTTGAATTAATAGGGATAATCTATAACAATTATAATAACCAATCTTAACACTTGTTACCATATCAAAAATAACATTTGTCTTTTTGTCATAAACATGATAAATCAAAATAAACTCAATCTTAACACACAAATATAACAAAATTAACTGTATAAATGAATATGAAGGATGCTATGTTATCAATCTCAATCAGAGCAATAAAAAATCTGTGTTAAGCCAACATTATCATGATGTTTTCTTTTCTACATAGACCAAACACTTTGAAGGTGTGCTAAGAGAGATTCTTACTTTTAGAAATAAATTTAGAGGGTTGAACTGCATGTATCTGGGTAGTTACTCTATCATTTAAGATGGTAGTTTGGAGTAAATTTTTAGCTTCAATTTCAAATATCCGATGCATATAACACATGCACATCTGCATTCCAAGAAATATTTTCTCTGATACAAATTGACTAACACTGGTTGCATGTACTGTAAATGAAAAATATACACATAATTGCAGCTAGGTCATGTTGTTTAATTCCTATTTTTCTTAATACTGGAAAATGTTCTGAATACTAGGTTTCAATAAATAAAAGAATCCCCTCTGTTGAATATATTAAGCATTAATTAACACGGAATTGAAAATCATAATATCCTGCAACAGATGATTTTTATTAGCACCATCTGAAATCACCCAACACCAATATGGCGAGTGATTCCCTGTGAATCAAACCTGTCCAGCATAATCATTTTGTAGTTGAACTTCAGTACAAACTATAATTAAGTAAATATTTGAAACGCAAAAAAACAAAAAACACAGTACTGAAAGTACTGGGAAGCACTAAGCGTATTGCAATTTGAAATTCATCAGAATTATTTTGAATTTAAATTGCCTGCTGTATTGGAATTTAAGCAATATCTTGACAGTGAATATGTTACAGCTGTGTATTATACATTTTTAACACTTCACATTCATCGCTCTGTGCAGCATATCAGCATCATGTTTGTAACGTCATGTGACAAAACTCTATGTCAATGAAATGAGCACCCGTAGAGATAACGTCCTTTTGTCAGAGATAGTAGGTAAATATACATTTTGAGTATAAAGATATTATATTTGTCTTCATCGCTTGATGATAAAACATTCAGTGTTATCCTTTTATCTCTGATTTTCATATACATAATTTATAATGTATTTGCAACCAAAAATTTGTCTTTTCTGTTGATCTCACAATATGTATATCTGATTTGTAAATATTACTTTTTTTAAAATAAAAATTTTTATACTTTTCTTCTTCAGATTAAAAATATGTCATTTAACCCCCAAAAGTATTTTGGACTATTGTTGAAATACTTTAAGGAGGCTGGGGGGTCAACAAATTAACCATCAGATATAACTTAATTTTTTTAGATATGATATCTAAAGCTGTCAACTATCATTTGGCAAACAAAAATTTCATACATTTTAGTTTTAAAATTTGATCATTTTTGTTTATTTTTATATGGAGCTCTTCTTCTAAAGGAGATCAATATAGCCTGAAAATGGCCACAATCACCCAGCCCTCTTAAAATGCTTCAGTATTTTTTTCACGGATGTTTGATGCTGTACACCATTCTTTACTTGTTTATATATGATTTTAACTACAACGCAAAACGTGTTTAGAGGAAAAAAATATCCACAGCAGTGTTGTGTTTGTTGAAAAGGAATACTGAAAATAATTGCCCTTAATTTTTCTGCTATTTCCATGATAAATAATTCAACAGCCCAAGAAAGAAAATACAGTATAATAATCTCAAGTATTAATATATCTTCATGAAGGTATACAACATTGTTTGATAATCATTCTGTTTTTATGTAGTCCTCATTAAGTTGCTTAGCAGTCAAATTGGCAACAAGCGCACATCTTTACATAAACTATTTCTTCCTAGTTTCCTAATACAAGTATTGCACTGTTTGCTTAACATTTCATCAACGCTATTCCTGTCCATTGCTAAGAACGTTTAATTAAGGTTTTTGCATTTTCGCCATATCTTGCGCACTGCACACATAATTTTAAAGCACAATATTCCGAGAAATTAGTTTTCCTATTTAAGTGGATTAATTGAAAACACAGCCACCACGTGCCCTACATACGTACAGCCGCAAACTGCCTTTCCTTGCGAATTATTTACATCATATTTTACCCATATAAACTTCAACATCAAGGTCACAAGGTCAAAAACCAGAGTAAATTCAGAAAAGTCTGGAAACAGATAATGCACACGTCAAATATAAAAGATAATCTTCTCTCATTCAAACTTATCAGCAATGATGAATTTTTTAAGGTCAAACTTCAAGGTCAAAGTAATATTAATGCCCCATCTTTTCTCCTTCAAAAGTTATCACCAATGTTAAAATTTTGAAAATTAAGTCAAATATCAAGGTCACGGGGTAAAAAAATCAAAGTATATTTGGAAAGGTCTTATCACAGATAATGTATATATGTGAAGTATGAAAGCACTATTTCTTCTCATTCAAAAGTTATGATGGTCACCAGGGTTTATGTAATGTTAAATTTTATGAAAATTAGATCAAACTTCAAGATCAAGATCATGGGGTCAAAAATTATACAGGTAACTCTCGATACCTCGAAGTCTGCGAGACCGAGGATAAACTTCGAGAGATCAAGAGTTCGAGTTTTCAAGAGTTCGGAATTTTCCAGGTTGGTTGACGGGTTTTAAAATTAGTCTTACCAGATGTAATGATTTTCATTCATTTCCATGCAGTGCTAACCTTTTACACATGGTTTTTACAAAACAACGATACTTCTTTGTTTTGTAGGTGAATATTTTTTAAACTGAATAAAGTAAAAAAATGTATATCGTCAATTTTTATGTGTATTTATTTAATTTATGTAATAGGAACATTATACTACGCCTTCGTTACGTGAAAACGACATTTTATAGCATTGTATGTAGCATCGACTATTTGTACATATTGATCAAGTCCAGAACAAACAGTACATTTAGCTACGTAGCTAAAATTACCTACCGTAGCTTTATTTACCTACCTCAGGTAGCTTTATTTAGCTATTTCAAGGCAACTTTTCACAATTTTGCTTTTTATTATAAAAAGACAAAAAAATCGCAAGTAAATGTCTATTAATATTTATTCTAGGTATTATTTAAAAAACAATCTAAAGCAGAGATATTTTAAACATTGCTGTGTTTGAACACTTTTAAGGAAAATATGTATTTCCATTGTTTGAGTAACTGTACACCACCTTGTGTGCGATGAGGCATGGGTAAATATGATTACTTCACATTGTGCTCATGTTAACCAAAACTGTTTTTCTTTGTTATTTCACTCAAGAAGTAACTGTTAGGTCACAAATTAACTGTTGTATATAGCCCCAAAACTTTTAGAACTTTGATTGCAATTGCGCAGAAAAGGACACATTTCCAAGAGTGATTTTTTCATGAATTATTTTCAGATAAGTTTAATTAAATTATCACTGCATCAAAGTGCAATTTTCTGCACTTTCTTCGAAAAATGCTTATTTAAGAAACAAGTTTGATTTAGTAGCTAAATAAAGCTACTTCAGGTAGGTAAATAAAGCTATATAGGTAATTTAAGCTACGTAGCTAAATCTAGTGATTGTACCAGACCTGTTGATATCAAACATGATCATCGAATGCAGTTCTGTAAGTTTTTGTTTTGAAATAGTCGTCATATTGACATTGATGCTGTTATGCATAGTTTCTGCATTTTTATTAATCATTTAACTTTGACACTGACTCAAAATTAGGCTAGTGTCTCTTCTTCTGATCAATTTCTACTTTTCACTGCATCTCTAATTTATCGTAAGACAGTTGATGTTAATTATTTTAAGAGCAGACAGGCAAAATATGATTAATTATCAATCAATTATCACTTTGCAGTATAAATGTCACCTGAATAAACATCCCGTTCCTCAAGTCCTGAGTCTTAATTATGTAACCCTTGCATAAACATGGGCACTTTGAGGTATTGAGGGTAAATTCCAATAGAATATGCATAGCGGGACTGTATTTTGACTTTGAGGGATCAAGGGTTTCGAGAGATTGAGAGTTCGAGAAATAAAGAGTAAATTTGCTTAGTTATATGGGGGAAAATTTGGGACAGGAGACTCACTTCGAGCGATCAAGAACTTCGAGAGATCGAAGTTCGAGCCATCAAGCGTTACCTGTAGTATACTTGGAAAGGTCCCGTCACAAGTAATGTACATGTGAAATATCAAAGCCCTGTCTTCTCATTCGAAAGTTATGACCAAGGTGAAAGTTTTTGGGACAGACAGACAAATGAGATTTAATGTCCCCTCACTTTCGTGAAAGCAGGGGACAATAAAACTAGGTGAAATTTTTCCTGTATATGGTATATCCTGAGGAGTAAGAAGATTTTTAATGATCATAATACATGATCAACTTAGCCCCACTCTGGGTTCTGAGCCCCGGGGACACAAATCTCATATTCTAAGCTTAGTGCCAACAAGCGAATTGTTTGCTTGGACATGAATCACAATTTTGGTAGACGTTGAGTTGCTCAGTATAATCATGGTTTGCCTGCTAGATACTCATGACTAAGAATTTTTTCAAAGATGTGAAGTATTTTTTGCATTACTTCATCCATAGATCCCACAGACCAAAACTGATTCAGCCATTTAATTAAGTGAAATAGCCAAAAATATTACAATGAATGATGCACAACAACAGATAGGAATCCAAAGCATTAGGTCACCTGCGTGACTCAGGTAACCTTCAAAGGTTGCAGCATGTACATCTTCACCTTTAATAGGCACACTATGTCCTCCAAATGAAATAACACGTCAGGATTGAAGTATGTATACATGCTATCCTAATTATTAAAAGGGAATAATTTTTACATAAGCATGACATGATTTGGCACAATTGTATACAAAGCTAGTTTGAATAATCTATAATTGTTTCTTGGGAGAGGCCCTCACACTGTAGTAATATGTCCCATATAGCTGCTATGTGGCAAAATAGAGTGGATTAATTCCTGCATGATTTTCAAGACTACAGATGTAGTCATATCAACATTAAATAATAACCATCAAATTAATCAAAGACTCTTTTGCTTACCTCAGCCCTAAGTTCTAAGCTCTGGTCAATTAGGGATTCCCCAAGCATTCCCTTTATCTCTTCATGTTCATGGACTGGGATATATTGTTCCACAATACTCCACAGGGATATTGGGGGTTCATATGCATGCAGGTCAAAATTTGGCTCCATAAGAATCTGGTCTGATAAATTTCTTTATATTCCTTCATTACATCTTTAACAATGATTTCTGATTAAAAAATAAATAAAAATCAGTACCATTTGGGGGTGGAGTAAAGTATAATTTCCTATTACCCGTATTTTTTCATAATCTTATTTTTATTAAAAGTATCAAAATTGAAAAAGGTGGATATAAGAATCAATTTTCAAACAGACTTGCTAGAATCCGACGAATATGATGTATAGATACACACACACACACATACCTTACACAATAACCAGAATCTGATCTAGACAAGTTGTTGGTCCTAGCTGTTCATTGTGCTAAAATACATGTAAATAAAATAACACAAATATTAGAATAGAGCGAGTATGTAGTATATATATTTCTAAGCACTTGTGATGCTCTGGGAAATACGCATGAGTGTATAAGGACAGTTTTTGATGCTTGAGTCATATTTTGGCCGCCATTTGTTTACAGGTCGTTCAGGACGACCGCTATGTAGCAGACGATTCGTTTTTGCTCTTCTCAGTGGTATTAATGCCTTAAAGTATTCACAGTACATATTCAAAAAGATATTTACTATTGAATTCTTACTGATGCTAGCTTAGCGTTCAATTTTTTTCCAAATATTTTATCCTCTCAGTAGTGCGCACAGAGTGGTCAGATTTCTGCCATTTTCGTAAATTCTAAATTTAAAACCAAAATGAAATAATTGAATTCCGGAATTTTAAATCGAAATATTATCAATTATTTTTGCAGGGTTTTTTCTTGATATATTCTAGGAAATAATAAATAACTTTAAATAAAGACATTCTAAACATTTACATTCAACTGTTCTCCTCTCAGTGTAAACTTTTAAGATACAGAGGTTCAAAGGAAACCGAGATATATTTTTTTCTCATAACTTTAAAGATTTATGTTAGCAAGGTGAATTATTTCATAACATCTTGACCTTTCCGGTGATATTGATTTCACTATTCCTTATTCTGCATACCATTAATTTCAAAGAAACTGATCAAGATACTTTAAAACTTCAAACAAATGCCTAATTTGACCGTGACTTATCCCATGGTCATTGACTTCACAATCCCCCCCCCCCTTTTTTTTTGTTTCTTTTACCTTAGTTTAAATAAGACTGTCCAGTTCACAGACTGCTGCAAATTAGTGAAAGCAATTTAAACTCATTTCCTGACCATGTCCTTCTCTATGACATTGACCTCTTTTTTTCAAGATTTTTCAAATAAAATCCATGTAAAGATAAAAATTGGTCAGAGCTACTTAATTCTATGACCTTGGCATTCCCCATGACCTTATACTTCCATATGACCTCATATTTCCTTTTAGTTCATCTTAAGTTATTAAATTACATTAAACAGACAGACAAAAAACCAAGAAATTAAAAAAAGTAAAATTTTTGCATGGCCCATGCAAAGTTTATTCATTTTTTGAAAGTTTAAGGTTTTATAAATTACAGGTTTCAGAACTTAAAAAATCTACTTTTATGGAGGAAAAAAATTGTTTGGTCCAAGTTAAAGTAGGGATATGAACAATTGGTAGCAACAGCATGCCATAACATTGTGAACGCATTCAATCTTGGAAGAAAGAAAAAAGCGAAATCTTAAAGGCTTACTATATTTTCATAAGCTGTGTCAAAATTAATCTAGATTTGAATTTTGCAGGCTCAGTATTTTTTCTTCCCCTGGATAATTCATTTTAATATGGACCCATATTCAAGTTGTTACCTGATCTTGACAATGAAAAAAAAATGTTTCTAATCAATGAAAAACTAGCAGATGAATGAAAGGACATTTTAATGCGAACGAACTAAAGTGCGAAAATTATGTGCATCCTCCCAAACTCCTTGAATTAAAATATACAGTTCTTCATAAGCCAATTCATCTTGCTATGTATAGATATGAATTTTTGTATCCCTTATTATTTTATGTTATGTTACTATGTCATGTATTTGGGTATGTGAGTTTTTTTGTCTTTTTTTTTGGCACAACTCTGAAATGCTGTTGTATGTTGTAATACAAATGGGAAGTGAGTACGTGTAACAACAAAATAATGCATACTAAGAGAATTTTATTCAGAAATTAGCACTTAAAAATGAAAACAGAAAACTGTCCAAAGCATACTACAGTAAAACATAAAATATTGACATTATCACCATGACAACAACACCAAGACAAAAAAGTTGACCTCCTCCTTTATCATATGACCTTTAAACTATAGATTTATATAAAAAAAAATTGTACCTGTCAGGTTATCAAAATTTCTACTTTACTTTGGACATACAGCGTTGTCTATTCTATAAAAAGATGTAAAAAGATGAAAAAATAAGGATATCTAAATATTTTAATTCATGATAAGGTCTATTTCTTTGATATATTTGGATATGCATGTTTCTAAAAGAAATACTTGTATTTTAAAAGAATAGAATTCATTGATATGACATCAACGTCAGTTACCCCTAAAAACAGAAAAGCTGACTGCAATTTTAATACAATGTACTTAAAAAACAGCAAACAGACAAATGCTATAAATAAAGAACTACAAAATACCGTTACACAATAAAATGAAGAAAATTTTCTGGAATGTCACAGTTCTTCTTCCAAAAAAATACCTTAATTTAAACTATTGTTTTTAAAGAGAAGTTGTGATAATATGTCTCTGTAGTTTCAAGAAGTGTCTTACTTGACATAAACAGACACCCTGTCCCTTTTTTACAATTAATTCTTGATGTAATATTGTCTGAAATATGAGAGGCTTTGTAGTTTTTTCATTTCAAATTCATCACTTTTTTTTTTGGTCACATGACAACTTAAAAAATCCTATATCTTCATCTATAAATAGTTAACAAGTAACAAGATATTGAGTAACAAAACAAAAATTATATTAAAATGACTAGTATCCATATTGCTAAAATAATCCAAGATATCTCCTTTGTAACAAGGGCATAATATAAAATTCAGCCAAAATTATGACATAAATGAAAATGAATATACCTTTGGTAATTCCTTTGTTTATGTGTATTATTATTTTCTAGAAGAAAAAAATCGATTTATTTGTAGATACTACAAGAAGTACATTCATATAAATTCAACACACTGTATACAAAAACATACACTCTATGTACACATATATAAAATATATACATATCTAAACACAGACAAGTATTATTTTGGAAGGTATAGTGTATTTAAAACTAGTTTACTGTTAAATGAATAAAAATTGTTAATTTTTTCCCTTATATAAATACACAATTATAGTGTGTTCCAGGTAGAAATTTTTTTGTGTGAAATCAATATGCTGGTTTCAATAACTCAAAATCCAATATGTGTTTGGCTTGCTAAAGTACACAAATACACATTGTTTGAAATATGTAATGAAAATACATTTACATGTATCTCAAACATTTTAGTATGTCTAATAAAGTTTACACTATCAACTATAAACATATACATTTTTTTTTTCATTTTACTGTAATTCATAACTAAGTGATAAGAAAATTGGAAAGAAAAGATATAAATTAAGTACAAAATTTCCATTTAATTAAGTTTTAACCAAGAATGAAAAAAAAAACCCAAACAAATCCATAGCCATTTCAATATTTGAGCTAGATTTGTGAGCCAAACAAAGTTTAAGTCACTGATGACACAGGTGATATGTACACAAATCACAACCCTGTTATCACAATATTAAAATACTGTCTCCAAAAATATCAACAGAAGCCATTATTATAAAGGCACTTTGTAGCCATTGTTTTGAAATTTCGATTTAGGTATAAAAACAATACATTTTTTCATTTTATTTTTAAAAACAATACTGGCTTTCATTCATATGTGCATATTTCAAATGTTTTAACAGTGAGAGGTAGACAATTCATTTTTTTTTATTGGAATATGTTTTCTTTTCCTTTTCAACATTCTAAAGCATTAAGCACCGGCTATGGAAAGAGACAGAGAAAGCACAGAGTAAGAATCACTATATCAGCATGACACTATTACAAAATCACTATTGCTAAAAAAAAAAAGTTACATCTATTTACAGATAGAAGAAAATGTAACATTTTATCCTTTCCTGTTACACACTTAAAGCAAGCACAAAAAAATGTAACAAGGCAAAATACATTTTTAGCTACAAAAGGAGACCCCAATGAGCAATAACGTTTTAGTAGTATTTTATGTATGAGCAATATCATTATTATAACAGGAGATTCATTATGCATAAATATTACAAAATGTGCAGGGAGATAACCTCTTCCCCTTGCCTGGTGGTCCTACAGTGACAATATTTTGAGAATACATGTATTCTTAAGTCGCAGTGTAAAAAAAAAAAAGTGCCAATATTAGGTCCTTTATACAATACTGTAAAAAAAAGATTTGTAGTGATGTATTATGCTCTGATTTTATTGCAGATTTGTATGAATTTATATCATAATATGCAAACAAAATTAGCACCATTAAATTTAAATTGTTGCTCATGAATCTATTTCATGAGGCCAAATTTATTATGTGGAACCAGCTCTGGGTCCTCGCAATGGAGAGAGTCAACTTAAAGCATAAATTTTGTTACAGAAGCAACATGCAATGTCTTTTTTTTCATGCCAAAGTAAATAATAACAATGATACAAAGACAAAAAAAAAATGCAAATCTTTTGTAGCAACACATCTCTGCTTTGGAAGTACATAGGTACCGAGTGATATTTGGATAGATATAAAGCTAAACACAGATTCAACATTAAATGCAGGCTATTAAATGGGTAGAAAGCTAAAAGAAAACATGTAACTACTAAATAAATAATATCATATTGAGACTTTTGGCATCTACAGTAAATCAAGGTGACACCCCATCCATAGAGGGCTAACAGATGCGGACTAAAACAGACCAAGAAAAACATTCAAATGTTATATACATAAGTAAGAAAAAAAAGCACTTTGAATAACACACCAAAGATAAAACTTTAAAAACACCCCAAAGAACAAAAGGAAAATGCAGCATTCATTCTACATCTAACCTAATTGAAACACATGCAGACAAAGACAGAAATAAATGCAACATGTTTGAATTTGAAACAAGTTTTTTTGTGCAAATTTATGAAAAAGTTGGGTGTTGGCACTAAGTAATACTAGAGAGAATAATACTGCAAAGATCATCAGAGAATAATATATTTCTGAATGTACACATTATTAATGTTTGACGAAATCCATGTATTCATATTCCTGACTGACTAACTGTGCTGGTAGTATGACTTTAAAAGTCCTTTTTAGAGAATAAATAAAATGAAAAATAATGCTATGAATATTTAAAGTGCACTATATCATTATGGCAAGATTTAGCAAAAATCTACATTTAAATACACTCTGCATAAAAAATACACGAACATGGCCGAATCCAGTTATCATTTGACAAAGAATTGACAAATTCTCCCCAAAGATATCTGACACCAAAATGTTTCGTTGTTTTACAGTAGTTATGAAAACATGGGAATAAAACTCCCCTAATATGAAAAATTGATAAATGCAGAAAGACAGATACTTGAGCTAATGGTTGAGGTGAGAGGAATGTGAAGATATACATGTATCTACATGGCTATTATACCACGCACCAATAAATGCATGAAGAAATTTAAATACATGCTTCGAATTCCCTTATTTTTGCTGTTTGTATTCATAACTCTGTTATGTAGACATAATTCATGTTTAAAAAATCAAGGCTGCCTTGCTCAGACTATTTGAACATTTCAGCATTTACTGCTGGTGCTGGTCATGTACTGAGTGAAGAGGGGGTGGACCAAGAGTTCCTTTGCTGTAGGTCGCTCTGTCTTCTGCTGTTCCAGACATCGAAGAAGGATGTCCCTAATAGGGGGAGACAGGTTCTCAGGGATTGGAGGGGGCTGCATTGATGTGGCAATCTGTGATAGAAAATACAATAAGACAACACTTTTTCTTTACCGATTGGGGAAAAACATAACATTCATTGTGAATATTCAAACCTTGATATCCAGGAAAATAAGGAAATGTGAAAAACCTTCCAAATATCCAGGTGTTTAAGATATTCAAGTTGAAACTTGAATTAATTATATAGTCAGGACATTAACTTACAATGACACATCCCTGGTACTGAACATAAACCAGGCTTGACAAATGAATTGTACATACAAGTACCAGTATATAAAAGACTTTGAAGGGCTCCTTGCATACATTCAGCATGTCCTCTCGTTTTTATATAGTAGAATTTACCTTAAAAATGAGAGCCAGATGGTTAGAAATATCTTTGGCATTCCAGGGTGGTCTGGTAGTACACATCTCAATGATAACACAGCCAACACTCCAAACATCACAGGCTCTTCCATAATTCTCACCTCGCAGAACCTTAATTAAAATGTTCATATATCAACTTACTAGTCAGAGAAATAGTACTGATGATGATCAATACTTTTTACTAACAATTCTAAATCTCACTCTTTTAGCAGATGGCTCCAAGAAACCAGTAGTGTTGACGTACTGATGAAATTCTTTATGGATTTTGAGATGATTCTAAAGCTACAAAATTTATCTGAATACCTCTGGAGCCATGAAAGCTATGGTTCCCAGCAGCTGACCCTGGAATTCTCCTGCCCCTGTAGCCTGAGAGGCCAATCTAGCAGCTGCCCCAAAGTCGCCAATTCTTAATCTTTGACCAGTGCTGTCCACCAGTAAATTAGCACCTAAATATAAAACACAAAAGTGACCAAAAACTTCTTCAACTAATGCACAAAAATGAAATATCAGTTCAGTTTTGTCCACATTGTTCTAAGTGTTATAAACTGTACCTTTAAGATCCCTGTGGAGAACATGGTTTTCATGGAGATAGGCCAGGCCTCTAAGGATCTGGAGGGTGTAGCTGGTGATGACATTCTCAGAGAATGCACCATACATTCCCAGGAGATAAGAGATAGACCCACCTTTACAATATATACATATTCTGAATTATGATATTTAATTTAAATACTTTCTTCTTCTTAGCAAATAGAATTACATTCATTTATATTGAGAATCCATTTCAAACCCAGGCATCAAAATTTCAGTATAAACAAGTGGTTCGTACAAATAATTCACTGTAATCTATTACTCTGAAGAGCCTTTGATTTTGTAAGAAATCAGAGTAACAGAATGGTTTAAATGAAATAAGACTAGATGTGTCATAACACCACAAATGCCCCCGCAGGGAGCCAAAATTTCAAATTGCAAATTGTAAATTGCACATTTGTAGTCGAGATAATGATTAGAAATTGGGAATTTTTAAATCTTTTCCAAATCTTTTTTAAGCTCAACAGGGATAAAAATCATTGAACAAAGACCAATTCAAACATGACCTGTATATTCTGGTAAAATAAATGCATATGCAATTTCAACCTTATACGTACATCCCTACAAAAATTAGAGAGCAGAAACTGAAAATTTCTTATTTTTTTCTGAGTTCAAGAGGGATAACTCTATCAAAAATCATCGGACCACGACCAAATTCGAAATTGACCTGTATTTTCTGGTAAAATACCTGCATATGCAATTTCAACCATATACATATATCTCTACAAAAGTTAGAGAGCAGAAACAGACAATTTCTTTTTTTTCTAAGTTCAAGTGGGACAACTCTGACAAAAATCTTTGGACCATGACCAAATTGACCTGCATATTTCTATGACGTATCCATATGTCAAATTTGAGTTGAATGTGTGCAACTGTTGCCGAGAAAATGTATGGAAAGTCAATGATGAGGGAATGATGGAACAGGGTAACACTATATGCCCCCATCCTGCTGGGATATAAAAATTATTACCAGGCATCCATTCCACAAACATATTGAAGTGGCAGCCATGGCGGGTAGCTCCCATGATTCTGACAACATTAGGGTGGTTCAGTTTAGTCATCATTATAATTTCTTCTGTTATGGTTTCAACAACACTTTCCTGCTCAGATCGAGAATTGCGGCAAAAAGACACCTGTAATTATGAATTAAATTGAAAGAATACAATTTATTGTAGATAAATAGATGTTCATTATAGCATTGAAAGAAGTGAAACACTTGCTCTTATTCATGCATATGAAATTCAAATTATCTTGATTGTACATTTTAAATAAACCATTCATTTTACTGTTTTTTTAAGAAGTGATATTAGCACTTTTGTTTGAATTGAAAGTTGGTGAACATGTCTTCATTGGCTGGATTCTGGTTCAATTTTACTTCATGAGTAATAATGAAATAATCTTTTCTTCCAAAGGATGAACTGAAATGTTATGTCATGAATCTGTATTATATCTTGTGCTTCAGATTCAATGCAAAGATCCTCTTACTGGTCTGATACCGGTACAGGTATATTGTACATTACCTGTTTGACAGCCATTAGGACTCCTGTCTTGACATCCTTAGCTTGGTAACATGTGCTGTAGGCCCCAGTCCCCAAAAGAGGCCCCTTCATCCAGTGGACGCCCTCAAGGTAAAGTGAGGGACCATTTCCCTTTGAATCCGGGTGACGTTCACCATTCTATTAACACAAGATATTAGACAAGAAGGTAGCATTTACCTGTCACATTAAATCATAGGCCTTTTTTTAAAACTACATGTAATATCAAACTTGCAATGAAAATTATGAAGAAAACAGAGCACATTAAGGGCTTTGTTTACAGAAAGGTTTGTTAAAAATTTCAACAAAACCCTCCATTTTAGTCAAGTGCATTAAATGTTACAGTATACCAGGGTATATATTGAGGCAATAGAGTATTAACACAGTATCTTTTTTGCACTAAAATGTAAAAACCTCTGGTTGTATCCGGATAGTGATAACTTCCTCCCTATCTGTTGGGGTGAGGCCAGGAACAAAAGGTTTGGGAGGATCAAGTGCCGACACCTCCATAGCCTTTGCCAGGGCCAGAGCCTCTTCCCTCTCTACCTCCTCTTTACATGGACATTCATCCTCCTCTTCTATAAAACACATATAGACAAACTTTCTCATACATGGGCATTTATTCCATCATTTGACAATGGCTAAGGTAATTCAATGTCCTGGTATTTCATTAGAATTTTTTTGTTCTATACTTTAAAACAAGACGAACAGTAACTATCAGTATATCTTAAATTACACACTTCACTTACTTTGTTTAAGAAAATTCATCACTGGCTCCTTTGGAGATGCCACTTCTGATTTGAATGAAACTGAATGTTCAAGACGAGTTCGACCTCTGGGTCTAACATCCAGAATTTCATCACTTGATGTTGCTCCTTGTTCTGCTGTGGGGAAATGTCCAAGATGTCGCACTTTACGTCTGCAAACTCTGTCCAGCGAGTCATCTGATGACAGGGTCCGCTCATCTGAAGAGAAGCTGGCACTGCCATGAGCCTCTAAATCATGAGATTCCAGTGGTGGTGGGGAGGGTTCTTTCTTTGGTAGATCGAGTGATAAAGGGGATTTCTTTGGTAGATCAATGGAATGAGAAGAAGGCAGAGGCCTGTGTTTACAGCCCTCTTTGTTCTCACAATCACACAACACGAAGGGCTTATCATCTGTTGTGCACGGCAGAGGCAGGGATAGTTTATTTCTCTCTGCAGACTCGCTGGCACATTTCACCACATCAGGGGGAGGTGGCAGAGCAGCCACATGTGGTGGAAGGGTGGGTGGAGACAAGATTGGCCCAACCTGTAAAATCTCGTAACTGCCTTTCCTTGAGAGAGGTCGAGGTGGAATAGGGGGAGGTGTTTTAGGTGGGGGAGTTGGATCTTTTGGAGAAGGACTTTTCCTCACACCTTCTTGTGATTCTCTGGGTGTTAAGACTAGTTTTGCAGGCTCAATACATTCCAGAAACTTTTCTGTTACAGTCAGAGTTCCTTCCTCTGTTATCTCACCATTAATGCTCTCATCATTTTTAGAATCGTACTTGCACTCCCTGCGAGCCCTAATGGGTGTATTAGGAGGGACAAGAGGAACAGATTTTCCTTTGCTGGTGCTACTTGCTTCACTCAGATGATCTGGAGATGCTGATACTGGGGAGTTACATCTGGGTGTAGACTCAGGTGAAGAGTGAGGGGAATTCTCAGGAGTCTCATCTTGAGGAATTTTTTTGTTTGTTATACCATGATGCAATTCATGAACCAGTTTCTCAGACAGATTAAAATCATCAGCAATTCGTGACATTCTTTTCTTCAGTGATTTAACTGATGTTGCATCCAGAACAGATAGCATTTCCTGCAAATCCTCCATCATAGACTCTAAGTGAATGGAAAATTTAACCACCAGCAAGAAAACCCTCCTTGCCATGCGACTAACTTTGAGATGGGAATTTTTGACTAGTTTTACAGCAAAACGTGCGATAGTAAGCAACCTCTCTGGTGAGGTCATAGCACCCCCATCAGAAGGCTTGGCTCCGAGCAAAGATTCCTCATCACCTGATTTTCCCTCTGGGGGATTCCTTGGAGATAATTCATTTTGAAACTCCTCAAAAAATCTCTCCAATAAATACAGTCTTCCGAGAAGCCATTGCCATGAAACTGTCTCAGGGTCAAAATCTTCTGTAGCACATCTTATCACATAATCCAGGCTGTTGAAACTTTGAGCCCCTATAAAACAGGACTGAAGCTGATAGATAATGCAATAAAGCATGGATGAATTTATATACACATGAAAATAAACAACATATGCTTTCAGAATTATTTTTTTGAAACATTACTGCTATTTAAGACATTTCACAGGAGAGTCATGATTACCTGAAACCTGACTGCCAACACAAAGCTCTCCCTCACTTCCTTTGGCAAGTTCCACGAGTGTAGACAAAGACAATTGACTAGTTCTTCTGCAAATATCAAAAAAAAAAAGTAATATCCATGAAATAATAATATGAACCTGTTCAAAATCTTTTTAAAAAACATCAGTTTGCATTACCTATTGCCATCAGTACATTTGATTATTATGGCATCCACAATAGGTTTTAGGATTCCCTCCAAGCGAGACTTCTGTTTCTCCTCTCGGCATGGAATATAGGACAAAACTGTCCGTAGAGTTTTCTGGAATTTAAAAGTAGAATTTAATTACTACCACAACTGCCTATAATTGTGTTGCAACATATAAGGGTATCAGATTACGTAAATAAAGCACATTCAAGAAGAGTATTTCATACTTACTAAACATGCAACATAGACTCTGTAGACGGGATCCCCACACATAAAGGCGAGGATCTGGCAGCAAATTTCTACAGATTTATGGATGTGACTAGCCTTTTCTGGGGATAACATCACCCCACTTTTCCCCTCACCCATGCCTTTCATCAGCACACCTACTGCCTCCCTACTCAGATGTCGAATCCCTGACTCACGTATTGACCAGTTACGAGAGAAAAAACAGGACATCAAGTCTTCTCCATACATCTGCAATAAAAATACACATATTGAAAAATAGCATGTAATAATCTTATCACAAACAATATCATGTTTATACGGTTATAGAGCAAAATTTCAATATGAGTATACTTACCTGTATCCATGGTTCTGCTAGAGCTGTGTGTTCTGGGGGAATAGGTTCAGCAAATGGCAGTCTGTCTCTCTCAGGAGGGACACCTTCAGTATATGGCAGTGCTCTGTCTGGGGAGGGGGCTCTTGTGTTTGGGGGAACAATTGGCAACTGGTTATCACCTCCAACATTCCTAAAGACATTTTGTTTTTTTTTTTTTATATGTGACATTTAGGATTACTTGTATATATAGAATTTTTTTTCCTTGGTGATTGATTTTCCAATCAAAGCTGCAGCCTTGCAAAACTTCAAAAAACTAAAACTACATGTATTATAACTGCTATTTTAGTTTAACAAGAGATCAAAAGGCATGAAACCCCAAGTCTGTTTTCAGTATTTTCCTTGTATTTACTTAGCATTCTACATTTTAAATTGCTATGTGTTAATGAGTATCAGTAAGTTTAAGTAACTTGGAAGACAAGTTGAGTAACTAACCCTTTAATTTCAATATCACTACTTTTCCAATCAGCCCTACACAGGGGACAGATAAGGGGATCATTCTGTCTTCTGCAAAGTTCAAACCCTGAAAGCAGACATATAGACCAATTCTTATAAGAAAAAATATTATACTTTATCAAAGTCCTGTATAATACATGTACAAATAATGCCATCTATATGTACCAAACTTTTATCGATTGTGGAGCATAGATTAAATATCTTTACAAACTGTAGCTGTCCAGAGATAAAGAGATTAACAATACTTATTAATCAGTGTTCAAGAAACACACATGGCTTGTCATATTTTTTATCTTGGATGTGAAATTGATTATCATCCTAAAAACAAGTTCAGGCCCTGTACCTCACTGTGATTATTCACACAAGGTTTCAAGAAGCTAAGAATTATGATCACATACACCTATTTTTGGAAACATTTATTCCATCCTGATATACTGACACACATACAAAAAGACCCCTTTTTATTTCCTATTTAAGTGACACAAGAATGCAAGTGTTGACATACAAACTGAAATGCAGTGATGATGCAGACGATTGTGGCAGCCATTTTCACATTTCAGGAGGCTCTCTCCCTCTAACATCTCCAGGAGACAGATAGGGCAGGTGTCATCTTCCTCCTTAACACTTCTGTAAGGAATATAATTTGTAACAGAAGTTTAATATCACACTATGCAAACTTGTTTTACATGTCCAGTGAATATCATTTGCTACATTTAAATCAAAAATTGACATTCTGCAATCTTTGGTAAAAATAAATTTTTTATGAGCTGTTGGCATCATTTGAAAAAAAAAATCAAGATACGCTTACACCACCTTGAGCATTATCGGAACCACAGATTTTCTCTTTGTTACACTAAATTCAACTTGTGTGCTGAATTTAGTGTATGGGAGAGAAACCTGTGGGTCCAATACACATTGAGACACATTTGACTCCAAGACTCCGAGAAAACCAAGTTAACCCCTCACTTACTCTCCATCTACTTCTGACTGTCCTGGTGTCATGTCGGGAGACAGCAAGTCAGAACTGCTCTGTGTCTTGGTTACTTTTACTTCTTTTTTCATTGAGATTCTGGATGACATTTTGTCATGGTATTCTTTAAACAAAGCTTCCACCTACAGTGCAGATCAAAAGTTATGTCAGTCTTGGAATCCAGTTGTACCTATGATTATAGCTGTATAAATCTATACTAAATTTTGGTTCTAGATTTACCTCATAGTTTTTAAGCACTTTGCTCAGCAATCGAGGATCACTTTCTCTAATCTGAAAAACTCTCAGCATAACAAACAAAACATGGACACAGTGAGGCCCCTTGCCACAGGTACAGTTCTGGAAAATACCAAACAGTACACAAAAAATTAGAAAGCATTAATATACATGTACATGTATATCCTACAGAATATGCAATTCCTTAAAATTGTTGCCTGTTTGTTTTGAAAGTCTATACTGACCTGTGGTCCTATGATGACCCTGAATTTATGGTCAGGTGAATCTCCACCAATCAGAAATGAGTTTGGACCGGACTGCTGTAGCAGATACAGACGAGCTCTCAGGACTTTAGCGATTCTGTTTCTGGTCAGGGCTTGTGACTGTTTAAACTGATGAACAATAAAAAGAAATTCAAAGCAAAGCATTCATATCATATCGAATTTGTTATAATTGTAGCTTAAAATGGTTTAACGGGAAACAGAATATTTTTTACTTCTTCTTATGAGCTTTTAGACATGGAAAGATAAACACATAGTAAATTATTTATCAATCATTTATCTTAAATTAAAAGTAAAAGAAAAATAATTCCTGCCAGTAACTGCATATGGGATAATTTTTCGAAGTCTTATTCCCTTTACATTGGATGGAAGTGCATTTCCCAGCAATGTGAATATAATAGCTAAAACAATTGCTTTCAAGACAGACAACAAAAAGATGAGATTTTTTTTTAAATACTCACAGAGTTTGAGGGAGATACTTTCTTTTTGGCTTGAGCAGAATTAACAACTTGTTGTTGGAATGCTGACTCCAAATTCTTATTGAAAGATTTCTTCCTATAAATGTTGGTGCCACTCTAACAAAAAAGAAGAAAAGTAATTTTGATTTTTTAAAAATGAAAACATGTCAGCATTTAAAGAATGAAAAGGTGAGGATGTCACACAATCACAAAAACTGAATGAATATTAATTCAATGAAAATTAAGAGTTACCTGCCCTGCTCCACTTCCATGTCTCTGAAACAGGTAAAAAATAAATTAAAAATCTGCTTTTATGTCATAAAATTTAATAAAAATTTGATATTCATTCAGACATATGTACAGACAGAGAAAGCGATATGACCCCAAAATGTATAGGTGTCTTCTCTTCATAGTAAAGTGCTTCTGTACAAATTTTGATGATGTTATGTTAAAAACAAAAGTGTTCATGAATAGATTGAGGGACAGACAAACAAGGTGATTTGTATACTAACAGAGCTCCCATATTTCATACATGGCCCTAAAAATAATTCTAATGCACAAAGTAGTGTTTGATCATCAAACAACTTAGAGTCCTAATACAAGATATCATATGAACACAGTGAATGTTGACTTTCCAACTTTCCAACTTTGAATGTAAGAGTCTTGACAACTTGAAGTACTCTACTTGAGTACCGAGTTTTATTGAAATCAAAGCAAAATTGCAGGAGTATTGTTTTAAGAGACTTTTACATACAACAAATGGACAGAGCTATACAGTCAAAAGATGGATACAGTACTAAATGCACTTTTAGCTCTTTAGGTCTTCATACAGAAAGCTAATATTGGGAAAAAAATAGAATCTACAGACTACCTTAACTGTAATCTTTTTCTTTTCAATCAAATGTCTTTTCCAGGAGGGGATTCTCCTTGGTTTGTCCGATTCCCGAAGTTCTTCCAATGTCCGTCTTGTGCTACCACTCCTTAAAATCAGATACATGTATTTTAATATTAGTTAAAAATCAACTTTGATTGATACATGTAGGCCTAGTTGTACTAATGAGTGCAGCAAGTTACTGCATAATACTAATAACAGAACACAGCCTCATTAATTTTTAAAACAATCAAATGACAGTTAGGAACCTATTAACAGTTGTTGCTGATGGAGGTTTGGATTTGTCAGCTGTGAATTTGAATTGGACGGGCTTCAACCTTCTCCTCCAGTCATGGGGTCCTTGAAATTCTTCATCACTGCCCTTGTCTTCTTCCTCATTTTCAGACAGAAACCCCCTCTCTTCTTCACTTGTCATAGTGAAAGGCAACAAGTTGTGCATAAAACAAAGAAATCATCTCATAACCAATCATGCACTAAACGACAGAAAGGTCATAAGAAATCGATATCTTCCAGACCCTCTTGCATTTTCATTCACGGGATCAATGTCAGGATTTATCTGTAAATAGAGACTGAGATTGTAAGGGAACAAACACAAATTATTAGCTGTCAATTTCGTCCAGAACTATTTACAAACATCTGTTTGACTTAGATCTGTTTATATTTCAGAAAGATGCGTCATACATGAAATCGTTGCTTTAAAGCGTTCTTTAAGATTGTTATAAAGAAATATACGCTATGCAAGATCTCCTTTGAATGATTAAGTTTGTTCACAACTTCATTTGTTGACAGACATGCTGAATTATAGTTTTAAGAATATCCGAAAGACATTTGTACAAGTTAATTAAAGCAGGTGCTTGGATTAAAAAATATGAATAAATACTTACAAACCGAAAAAATATTCTTAACGTCTTTTAAACTAAATCTTTAAAACTGTTTATTTTTTAATATCTATAAACCAAATCACATACTTTATTGGTGTAATTCAGTTTTTATTCCCAATTTTTAGCATAAAAGGCTGTATTGGCTATATTCGTTTTAACTCAATAATCTTACTTTTGAATTGTTGTTGACAACGCGTGCCCCCGAGTGGGATCAGTGGATGATGATTGATGTGGTGCTGTTTAAATCAGTAAGTGACATCTATTTGAGTAACGTCGTAATTAATTATTCTCTAAATTGACTTGATTAGAATAATCTAACTGTGTCTCGGGACAGGCCCTCACCACACGGTCCGTAGGAGATTATCATTTTGATTTTAACGATAGAACATTCTATCCATAAATTGTAGAGTGGCCTTTTATAAAAGAAAAGAAAACTTGAATGAGTGACATTGCATTCACTATATCCCCTATTTTTGAGAATTGTGATTTCCGGTATTTTCGAGAATATATTGTCATAAACTCATGAATTTAGGTTTTACTGACTTTAAAATGTTTACAGTTGTTTACATGTATGGTTTTCGCCTCACCATGAACCGACTTATTTGACCGAAAGGTAATACGAGATTCCTCTGAATCCGTAACACTTTCATATTTTGTGGAACTCTAGGATTAACCAAAAGTAGCATAACTTTTTTTGTGATCATACATTGAATTGCAAATAAAATTTAATATGTTGACGGTGCGACCGTTAGGGCGAGCGCAGATATTTATTCAGGTTTAATTTAGATTGGGCTTGATTGTCAAACTGCACGTGACATTTCAAGTCTAGACTCTGATGTCACATGACGTCGTATTTAAGTTGCATTACCAAACGGAAGCCGGAACATTGTTGACTTTAATGAAGAATGTATTATTTACTATTTATCTGCAATATATCCATTAAATCAAGGCGAGTTTATTTTTTGTTAAACTGTTGTTGTTATTCTCGCGAGAACATAGCTTAAACAAGCGATGCATTGTGGGTCCAAAAGTTACTGTGGAAAAAAATTCATTTGGATCAATGTGTAAGTCCGAATTTTCTCTTCGCCCAGGCGTTGTTGTTAGAGCTCGCATTGCGCTCGCTATTACATCAGAAGGTGAAATTGCTAGGGCAAGCATACTTTTCTTTGATTATGTTAATAAATAATTCTACAGCTCTCAAATGAGGGTCTGCAATTTTATTTTGCATACTGCTGATACTGAACTCAGTGAGTGGCGCAAAGCGCTGCTCGTCACTGCGAGCTTTAATGACAATGCCTGTGCGAAGAGGAAATTTGGACTAATGCACATTCATTCAATAGAATTTTTTGATGCAGTAACTCTGGACCCACAATGCAATGCTTGTTGTTCTCGCTGCTAACTTCGTTCTCGCAGTAACGATAACTAAACATTCACAAAAAATAAACTCACCTTAATTTAATAGGTATTGCATATATATTACAGATGGTAGATTAAAAGTTCTTTGTTAAAATTTTGTCAAACTTCGTTTATGGAAATGCAGCTAACATACGTCATGGGACGTCAGAGTCTAGACGTTCCAAATGTCTCGTGCAGATTGAAGAGGTGTATCTTAAAATTAAGTGAACAATGCGCTCGTCCCAATGGTCGCACCTCAACATATTACAATGATGACACATTATATTTTGAGTAAGGGCTATATTTTGAGTAACAATTTGAAGCATGTGTTTATTGCATTTCATAATGTCATGCATTTATCTCACATATGATTTTTTTGACTTCAGAGAATTTTATAGTAATTATAAAAGCTATCTTAAATCCCCCACAACTCAGGAGATTCCATAATTCTTGAAAAGTTGTCAGACAATACCAACAAGATCTGAAAAACTTGAGATTTTTTATTTATGTAAAGACAAAGGAATGATGTCATATAGAAAGATGTATTAAATGAGGATTAGATACTTGAGTTTTGTGGCAGAAAGATTCATAAATTTTGCAGGTTCCAGAGCTCCCACTGTTTTCTTGAAGCACCCCATATAGAATTTTATGAAGACAGTGATCTATCCAGGGTGCACCCATGCATTGGCCAAAAGCCCCTTAAGTTTGCTTAACCCTCCCCCCCCCCCCCAAATTGAAGAAAAAATCCATAATTTAAAGACAACATCCTCAACTTTAGTCAAATTGAATACCCCTGCATGTAATTTATGGGAAAATAACCTTACATTTTAATCAAAGCATCCCCTAATTTTAGTGAAAGTGATACATACAGAATGTACAGCTATATAGATACGTGTATATTATATTCAACTCTTTACAAACCCTCAGTTTTGTTCAAAGCTTTGTCTGTTTGGTCAAAGCAACCCAAATATAGAGAAAAAAAATGATAAAACCCATTCCATTCAATTAGTTATTTTCTCCTCATTACAAAATGAATTGTAACAGTTACTGGGTTTGGAGGAGGGGGGAGGGTGGCAAACATACCTATAGTGTATATAGATATATTCACCACATTATGAAACAAGTTGTGTTTGGGGGCATTTTATCAAATCTATGGGACACTTTGACCAGTGTTTTGGGATGGTTTTATAACAACTATAGCTATAAAATTCTGTAGGAAACCCTTTCATCAAATCTTGGAGATGCTTTGACCAGTATTTGGAGATGATTATTGCAACTCTGTTTAACTAAAAAATTCAGTTAAGGACTATCTGACAAAACTAGGGGATGTTTGATGTTTGACCAATATATAACTATAAGGACAGATTCATGATGGCTATGGTAATTAAAAAAAAATCTGTTAGAAGGCTTTTTCACCAATCTAGGAGATATTTTGACCAATATTTGGTGATGATGGTTTTGTAACTATAAAACCAAATGTAGGGGATGCTTTGACCAGTATTATGGGACAGTTTTTTGACATTTCATTTCTACAAAATTCTTTTTAGAGGCTGTTTGGTGAAATCTAGCAGACACTTTGAGACATATTTTGGGCCTTTTTGGGGGGATACACACTAAATATCTTCTCCCATAATTATATGTTGTGACAAAATTTAAGAACTTGCATTTTAACTTTTCTTGTTCTAACCTATTATCACCCTTCATATAAAATTGAGTGATGGTTTGGCCTTTACATGTATTTTTTTTTATTCACTTGGAGACTTTCTGGAATCCACTCATTTTATTTAAATACCACAGTTGTAAATAAACTATAGCTGCTAATTACACATTTATCATTTTCCCTTATCACCTGCATACGGGGTTTATATCTCTCAGTTGATTTGATACTCAAGAGCATGCTCTATGTATTAACAATTTCTAATACGAGGTAAGTTATTGACAGACAAGTTGATGAAACAAGAATATTTACATTTGCAAATGTTTTCTTTTATATAACACTATTGAAAGCAATGCGTATCTATATCCGTATAAACACAGGTTCCTCGCGTCATAAACGTTCGACGTAATTTCTCAGTGACGTCATAAAGGGTCGAAGCGCAATCAATAGATCAAGCTCGTGCCGTTGAGTTTGAAAAAATAAAACATTTCACGCGTTAAAGGTTATAATCAGGCTGATATATAATATGAATAAGTCACAAATGTAAATATAAGTAATAAAGTATCATTTTAAAACATCTATCGGGATATAAATACGGGTTGGTACGAGATCAAATTTACCATAAAGCCCTTCGGGCTTTATGGAATTTGATCTCGTGACCAACCCGTATTTATATCCCGATAGATGTTTAAAAATGATACCTTATTTCTTAAATATCAGCAGACTCATTTAAAGTTATCATTTCGTAAGTTCTATGGTCGATACAATGACCTTGTCAGCAAATACATTCTATCATTAAGTCAAATGCTGACTGATGTTTTTCATACTATTGTTAGACCATTTACACACTGAATTGTCAACAAATTTTTCCGTTATTTCTGATCATGACAAGGAGCACACAGCAGGTGTGACCGGTCTGCAGGGGATGCTCACTCCTCCATGGCACCTGATCCCACCTCTGACATTTTAGAGGTCTGTGTTTGCTCTGCTCCTGCTTTGTATTGTTTAATGGACATTTGAGCTTGAATACTGTTCGTTATCTCCATGTATTTCATTGGCAGTTATTAAATGTATAGAATTCTTTTTGTTTGTCCTTCTTGTGACCTATATAGTTTCATGTACTTTGCAATTACTTTTCTTTAATAGTAATAGTCAACATTGTATATATAATAATTAAGTGGTAATATTACAAGAATGTCAGTGCCAGTTGAAATGGAACACTTTAAAAATTCAAATAGACACTAATCTTCAATCAAGCTAATAACTTAAAGAGAGCATTAAGGCAGAATGAAAAGAGGCTAATTGTGAGAAATAAAAAATTAATAATCAATTCAGTTGACAAAAATTGCAGATTTCATACACATTGATGGAATTTCATGAGTATTAATGGTTTTATTGTTTAAACTGTGGTTGATAAGGCTATTACTTTATTCATACAGTAAGAATAAGGCAGAATTGAGTTCTTGGCAATCTGACAGACCAAACATATCTTTTAGAATCGATTAATTGTAGCATGATATACAACCTGTAGCTGATACAGTATTCCTTTTGATCACATTTATTTCATATTTAATTTCCTTCAAGATTTTGAAAAAAAAAGAAACAGTTTCAATAGGACTTAAACTGGTAGATATGTATTCATCATTTCTTTATGCCATTGGTGAGAAAAAACTTGTAAGTATTTCAATGTAGAAGTTTATGTTTTCCTTAATTTCTATAGTTGTCCAAGTTTTTCAGAAATTTCAGATTTAAAAAAAAGAATGTTAAAAATTCTAATTTTCTCTTTTTAGTCATTGCTGGTTGGCTGTTATTTCAAATTAACTTGCACATTTGACTGCTTAACCAACAAATGATTAAATTTTTCAAAAATTTTAGTCACTTGAGTAATTACATTGTAATTCATGTGTGAGGAACATGCATTTTTTTTAACTAATGAAAGAAAGTTTTTTAACTTTCCCTTACTTAGAAATGATCATAAACAAAAAAATCAAAACAAAATGTTTGGATAAACAATGAGCAGGATAACTTATCTATCTAAGATCTCTACTGAAAGAATATTTAAGTGTGTAACCAAATGCAATCTAATTTTAGAATAGAAAAGAAAATATTCAAAGAATTATTCTTGTATCAATAGTGGTAGATCAAAAAAATCTGATCTCAAGGATAGATCTACGTTCTGGCCTTAAATGGAAGATTCCTTTGGTCAATCCTTGGTAAAGACCTTACGTACTGTATGAATAGTCCCCGCTAGACCTTTATATCACTATATCTAAGTAATATTAAACTTTTTTATCTTTAAAGTTCCAAGGAATCAATTGGAGTTTTATAGAACCTTTTGATATCAGGTGCTCTGGAAATGGGTGACCTAAGTTGAAGGGGGAGATTAAATCTATCAAGATTGCACTAGAAGTGAGTGCACATTAGTGACAACAAGTGGCCATTAAATTTTTTTCTAATGTATTTAAGTCTGCAAAGTAAATTTCTCATTGTGCTTTTGGATTTAATCTCATTACTTTGTTCTGTTCTAAAAGATTTGAGCAAATTAAACAAACATCCAGTGGGAACATTTTAATCGGTCTGCTCGTCACTTAGTGCTGGCAAAAGTATATAACAAAATAATTTGGTGAGTACAGAGCCTTGCTTTTATTCAACCATTTTATTTAGAAACATTTCATGGAGTGAAACACTCAATAAATGAGCATTTCAGCATTTCAATTGAGTAAATGAGAAATTATTGTGTATGTATATACAAAAATAATTGGGACTTATATAAAAAGAAACTTGGGAAAAAAAGTTGAATGACTCAGGGGGAATTTTATTTTTGAAAGATAAGATGACATTATTGTCAACATTTTCATTTAGAAATTTGTGAAAGCAGGGATAAATGTAGACATGTTTTCTGTAGAAGAACATGACAATTTGACAAGGAGGTACACATCGTGACAGGATCGAAGTGTTTGATCACCCCGAAAAATAAATACTGGAGATCTCTCTAGTGGCAGGGCTAAGATTACAAGTCTGTAGAATTAACAAATCATAGAAAATTTACCTTCTTTTCTTATAAGCATTCCTGTGATATCGGTCTTTGTGATAGACACATTTCTCTTCTGTGCATATGTAAAGAAAACTTAGGTTGTTGGCTTAGGTCATAGCTAACTTGAAACATTGTGAGGTGATAAGGAACATCGCTAAACATACTTCTCGGAATTAGACTAATCAAGCTGTTAATGCTCTTTGAATTCTGTCATTTTCCTTGTTTTGTGGAGACTCACTGTTAGATTTGTTGCCATGTACTTTATAGAATGCTGATTACGTGTGGTGAAATGTTTGGTTCTCTGAATGTGCTAATAGTGATCAAGATCGCAGTGTTTATGGTATATTTTAAGTGTAAATGAACATTATTTTCTAAAGATGTTATTAGATCAGGCACACATTGTCAGCAAATGTTTGATGAAATAATTGTTTTGTGATGTATTTTAATGAAAATAAGTATAAAGGCCACCCTGCCAGAAATAATAAATATTTATAAATATTTAAACACTGCTTAGAGCAACCAAATTCTGTAAATTTATGTTTTGTATATCATGATACTGGTCATGTAAATGTATTTCCATTTAGTGAAAATATTTTCATAAAAGACCTTTTTCTATACTTCTCATTTCACATACAGATAATTATATATTATGTTTAAAATTGTTTGCAATACCCCTATCTAGATTCAGTGATTTAAAATATTGCTCACATTATACAAAAGTAAATATATATATAAGGCAAACATTCATTATTGATAATTTTCCTCTGGTAATTTTTATACATTGTGTATTGATATTGACATTTTAAATGAACATGCAAACAGTAACTGTCAATATAAAACTAATTGAACACAAACATTGCCACAATTCTATTAGTGTGCTTTATCTACTAGTGATTCTACAAGCAGGTCTGTGCATGGACTTTTAAATGTAATTTGTTAAAATTTGCATATTTTGATCTCAGTAGACAAATTTGAACATTCTCATGTATATTTTCTATCAGAGTTTTGCATGTTTTAAGTCTTCCAATGAATTCTAAAAACTCTCTGGTACATGTATATGATAATCATGCAACAACATGGCCAAATACATCCAGTAACTAATATTCACACTCTGCAGTTGGTACAGTGAATTTTTATTGCTACGTACATTTTTTTGTAGATGAGTTGTGGTGTCTTCCAGTAGTGATAGGAACTTGTAGACAGCAGTACCACACCAGGCACCACCATGACACAGCGGTACCTGGCTGCTCTGGACTATGCCGATTACAATGCCAGACAAATTCTTCGTAAACATGCAAAGGTGAGCTTCCTTATTTAAAACATCAAAGAATTTCTCAATTAAAGGGTAACCTATTTGATGTATGTAGGGCCTTATTGGTAAATAAATGATTGAACAAATCTGTGGTCCATAAAGACAGATTGGAGGACAAATTGTGCATGGCAGGCCATAGCTCTGTGCATTTTTCTTTATGTTATATTTCTATGATTGTATGCTTTGGGATATCAATATATAAATGCCTATTCTTCCATACTTGCAATTTAATGACAAAAGTTGGACCTTGAGTTGTTGGATGGTATTGTATAATGTATGCAATTGCAGTAATAGTCCACAGACAAAAATGTCTTTCTATGTAAATTCCCCAAATCTTATCATATCTGTGGTTTTGGAGGTGCAAATTTGTCAGATAGTAAAATCGGGGGACTGAGCTAAGACAGTAGTTCTCAGTGAAGGGACAGTGATTGCAAAAAAGGGATTAACAGGTAAAAGATTTCAATCAAAGACTTGTTACATCTGAAACAATAACTGGGAACTGCTCTTTGCATGACTGAATGCACAAGCAGGTGATTGCATATGCTGACGTAGAGATGAATGTCACATGCATGGACTTCTTTATAACTCTGCATGTATATTGTACCTAGTGGTTGTCTCTTTGATTGTGGGTGACAATAGCCTTGTTCCCACCTGTGTTTTGAATATGAGATCATATCTCTTTATGGAGCTTAAAACAATTCATGCTGACTATGTAATACACTATCATGTACCCAAATAGAACTGTCAGGCTAGGATCATAATCGACAAACAAATCAGTGTATGGTGGCACTACCCAACACTCGGCACATTTGTATCATTGTTAGCTTGATTATTTTGTACTGCAGTTCAGGGACTGAGATGCATGCCTCACTCTGGTAGATTCTAATGGATTTTTAAAATGAATTCAAAGTGTTTCTGCGAATGGCAATTATCTCATTTGGAGCAGGCTGTTGAAATAACTATAGTCAACATATTTATTACAAGAACTTTTTTGATTTTGTGTATCATGCATGAGATAGTGGAAGGAAAATACTGTTCAGTATGAAATAAGTGTATAATTCACATTAGCAAGTGTTGCATGATTTATCAGGTACTTAAGTGCTTAATGGTGTATGTTTTGGACTATTTAGGTAAGTTTCCATGCATTGTGTTTGATTTGTCATTGTCACTGTTTGGAGAAAACCCACAGGTATTTACCAAAGAGAGGTCAAAGACAATTCAGAATTATTAGGATTAAATGGATTTTTCGTGAAATTATTTGCATTCTGTGTTTGTTCTCTGATAGATTGTTAGCACTTGAGGTGTTATATCTGCATGAGCTAATTTTTACTTTGATCGGAATAAAGTATAGCAATTGTCCTTGGTCAATAGCTTAATACACAGATTCCGGAGTAGACAGTTTGATATTTGCATTTCATTATATTGTATACCTTATCCTTCAATAAAATAAAGTCTATAGACATACATAGTAAAATATTTCTTTCTGCACGACCCCCCAAAATTTTCATTTCAATCTGGATTGATCAATGTACAAGTAATATTAATTTGTTTGATCTTTCATATTATTGAAGCTTGAAAGAGATTGTTGTAAATTATTTCTTTCCTTTATGTCTCTGTTGTGCACTTTATTCAAGTGATAAAGTTTGGGGAGAAAAGATATATTGATCTCGAATTTAAGGGGAAAAAAAGTCATATAGAAAGGGATGATAAATCCTTAGTAATGATTTCACATATAGTGAGAGTTCCTATGTTTTTGGGTCTTGGTTCTGTCTCTTAATCCCCTGTCTGTGTAACGTAATGATCCCCTTCTACGGTCCAATTTCTAACGTATCAACTCAAGACAAAATCACAAAATGAAAAAAAAAATTGTTTTGAAAATTAATTAAATTCTTTTTTTGGTATCTGGAGCATTTTCTGCAGATTTATACATTCTGCCTTTCTTGAATGCCAACATTCTCAAGAAGTATTTGGAAAAAAAGCCGTTGGGATGACGAAAATTAATGAAATGTTTCATGAATGCTTAATTTGTCATGAAGGAGAGCAGTTAGCCTATTGAATTTTCTCTTTAAAACCCATGTGCATTTAATGATAGGGAAAATATAATTGGTTTAAAATGAAATTCAAATTGAAAAGGTGTCTTCATTTGTGTAAGGAGTGACTTACAAAGACATTGTATTGTATCCAAATATTACACCTAGATAATGGAGAAACTTGCCAAATAATCTTTCATTTACCAAAGTGAGCTTTCCATTAAAAAGTTTAAAAGATATTTCCAGCTTAGTTTTGGTGTCAGATCTAAATTGAATAAGAGATTTTTACCTCAACTTTAAATACTTGAGTGAAATAGATTGAGATTTGCAATGCATTATGTCAATATTGTTATGTGTAATGTAGAGGACCATTGATAAGGGCAGCCTATTCAGTCTGTGTCCCCCCAAAGCTTTTAATTTGCCCACCAGAGATTGTCTCTAATCATACCTATATGTTGTGTGGACTGTATTTCAAGGGGAATGTTTATTTTTGTGCAGCAGCATTGATCAAACATTAGATTCCAAGCAACACAGAAAACGTCTAAATTTGGAGTGAAGTTTATGTTTCAATTTCCAGTGACACTTATGTGACAATATTGTTCTTATTTGCTTAGACTGTTTCTTTGTAAGTTTTGAAGTTTTTATTTGCTTTGTTCACAGTGTTGCTAATTGTTTCAGAAAAACTGTATTGATGTTGTATAAGCATTTATGCTTTCAGGTTGATGCTTGCCATAATTGGCAATTAACTGGTAGTTGCCACACCATTGCAAAAATTGCTCTTGAATATATTGTCAAACATTTGATAATTAGAACTTCTTAAGACTGTTATGAAAATTAAGATATCTAAAAGTTCAAAGATATCAAAATTAAGATTAGAGTTCAAAGTTGGTTGTTTACAATACGGCACATTTCAATTTTACAATGTTTTACTATGCTGTATTTTTCTCTTAAATAATTATTAAGAATAGTTAAGTTTTTTATTTGTAAAATTCACTTAATTATAAGCATACATCTACCCCTAAAGATTACATTCTTAGGTACTGATCCTTTAAAATCATCATATTTTTGACAATATAAATTGTGTACTGTGGTATTTTTTGTACTTTTTATTGTACACCATTTATTGGGTAATTTGATGGTTTTGTTGACTTAATGCAAAGGTCTGATGGTTAATTTAAATTAGATGTGATGGTGAAAGCCTATCTAATTATAAGCACAAACATGTATGGCATTTAAATTATGTTATTTATAGACATTGATTGAAACTTTGGCAAAATTGACAAATTAAACCCAAACTCTGATACAATGATCATTGATGGAGGCTTTGCACATGAGTGTTTCTACAAGTTACTGCTGTGTTACACTTTGTGAACAGTTCAATATGAATTAAAGCTTCATAAAACTGTTCAGTGCCTCTGTTATTAAATAAATTATGTTTCAAAAGGGCATCAGGGTATGTATTTGTGCATGCATATATGTTGATTCAAATCTAGAGGTAGTCTTTTCAGATTTTGCCAGATAGTTTAATCTCAAAATTGACATCAATAGTAATTAGAGGTAACATGATATCAGAGAGTACCTTAAGCAGGTGAATGTGATATAACAGCTAATTCTGCTGTCTGAAATTTAGTTTGTAATTTGCTCATTCAGAGGAAGCCTTCAATTTTCTGTATATAATTTTTTATTTCATTCAATTTGCATTTACTGAAGTTGTGTCTGAAATGTAATACAGGGATTCTATTGGGGGGGGGGGGGGGTTCAACAGAATCACAGAATTCTGCATAAATTGAATAACTACAATACTATAATTACCTGTTATACAGTATTTTTAGAAACATAAGTGCACAAAAGACATTAATTCTTTAATTTTTTATGGCATATATGTTTGACTTTATGTAATTCACACCTCTAATTTAGTAACATCTTGTTCCAAGAGGTTCTTGATGCAAATTTGATCAAACCTCACTCACTACAGCAGAAGTAGTACAATATATTCATAATAGCTGTAAACCCTTGTAAAACTAGAAGTGTCTGATGAGTCTGTAGCTCTGCTGGTTTGCCCATGTGTTTTTATATAAAGGAAGAGGAAAGTAGCATTATGGCAACAGCAATAAATGGAATAATGATCTTTGGTGTAGTACCTTTTTGTGGCAAGTTTTATTGCAATCAGACCAAAACTATACTTATCAGGAGGAATGGACTTTTGAAAGAATATTTCACAGAAATTTCTCAGAATTATGTATCTTAGTGTAGTCTTCTTGATGTGTACAAAGTTTCAGTGAAATCAGACTAAAACTGTAGGACTAACATTTTGGAAGATTTTCACAGAAATTGGTATTTTTTTGTTTTCATACCAAGACCATTTGTCAAAATAAAAAAAAAACGGTGCTTAGAATTATGTAACTTGTTAGTCTGCTTGATAGAAATTGGACAAAAACTGTAGGATGAGAAGCATTTTAAAAAAAAAAAATTGTTTAAAGACAAAAAGATAGACCACGGATACCTTACTATCTCATATGCACTTCTGATCTCTGACCATGCTAAAAATTGTAAGATTTTGTTTTTGTGCTTGGACTGTTTAGAGAAGGATTGAATTTTCTGTTTTACAGAAGCGCCCTCTTGGAGAGATTGAACTTCGACATCGATATACTCCAGCACAGCCCGTTTTATCCTGTCGGACTGTCAATATTGACGTCAGCGGAACACGGACGTACCGACCAAAATCCACCACAGACATAATACAGGAACAGCATCGACTCATTCATTCACTGTACACTAAAAGGTAAATCTTTTACTTTAGTTTTCCTAGGATTTGTTGCACAAATGATACAGGTATAGGCAATCTAGAAGTAAACTATCTGATGTTCCAAAATAAATTACCTGAACCTAATGATCCAAAGAGTTTGCTGGTGAACTGAAAATAATTTTTTCCTTAATAGAATTAATTTCACTTATCATTTCATTGCTAAACAATTGTTTTCTAAAAATGAGGATTCTGTTTTCATTTTTTAGTTCACCTGAGCTGAAAGCTCAAGGGAGCTTTTCTGATCACCCGTTGTCCGTCGTCCGCCCTTCTGTCTGTCCATCCGTCCATCTGTAAACTTTTCACATTTTCAACTTCTTCTCAAGAACCACTGGGCCAATTTTAATCAAACTTTGTACAAAGCATCCTTGGGTGAAGGGAAGTTTAAATTGTCAAAATGAAGGGCCAAGTCCCATTACAAGATATTCAAGAAAAGGCAAAAATAGGGTGGTGTCATTAAAAAATCTTCACAAAATTAAACCACTGAGCCAGAAGTTATACATTGAAATAAATAGGAAAAATCTTCTTCTCAAGAACCACTGGGCCAGAAAAGCTGAAACTTATGTGGAAGCATCCTCGGGTAGTGTAGATTTTAATTTGTTAACATCATGACCCCCGGGGGTAGGACGAGGCCACAATAGGGAATCCAAGTTTTACATTGAAATAAATAGGAAAAATCTTTAAAAAATCTTCTTTTCAAGAACCACTGGGCCAGAAAAGCTGAAACTTATGTGAAAGCATTCTGGGGTAGTTTAGATTCTATCAGGTGAGCGATGTGGCCCATGGGCCTCTTGTTTTTTATTGTTAGATCTGTTGCATCAGCACCCCCACGACGGAACCTTCCAGCTCAAAACAGCGGTAGAAAAGTCCAGAGGATAAATAGTGAGTGCCAAAAGAGCTTTAAAGAGTCTCAAAAGTACATGTGTGATTTTCTAAACAATCTGAGTATAAATAACTTTGGTGTATTTTCCTTCTTCAGTTCAGGTAACTGGCCAGCCATTGTCAGCTCAGTCCCAGAATCAACTTCCACTCAGAAAAAAGTCAATCACAAAAAAGCCCAAACCCAATGGTAAGACTTCCGATGCTCAATATCATGGTTTATTCCAAAGGTGCTCATTAGGGCCCCCACTCTATGGATGGGCTATAATAATCAATTCTTCTGTCTGTCCAACAGTAAGTGCTCAGAGCAAATAAGCATTTTCTTTTCCCTTGACCTAATATTTGTTATAAATCCCCATTCAATATCACTGGAAAATGGATTTCTTTGACCTTGAACCAATTCTAACTAAAAGGTCAAGATCAATATGGAATATTGTCTAATTTTGGGGGGTAAATATTTTCGCTCCACCCAATTTATCAGGTTTTTCTTGGGTAAAAAGTATGCGGTATCATGGATCCTTCACCCTAGTGAGACTTTGAGTGGAATTCATGCAGTGATCCTCAATTTAGTTTGCTCTGAAGTTCAAAATCATGACAGAATTCTAGGTCTATATCATTATAGAAAATTGTTGGGTTTTTTTTTAATCAAAAGTACACCTCTCTCATTGTTTAATGATCATGCATATTTGAATATGATATTAACTTTGATGAAAGTTTTAAATGTAATTTTAAAGTGAAAATATATCTGTGTGTGAATTCCTTGTCTTGAATGAATTTCTTTTCCCATATTGCAAACATACTGATAATTCACTGATATAGAAGCCTCTATCTACAGGCAGTGCAATGACATTGACAAAAGATTCTAAACTTTAAAGTTCAAGTCTAACATAGATTTCTATGTAAATTCATCTTCTGGATACTGTATACATGTATTATTTCTTCCATTGGCCTACTTTTATTTATACATGTTTTGAAGGGTTGTGCAATAACAATGTGGGGTGGGGGTGGGGTGGGGTGGGGGTTTAGAAATTTTTGTCAGGAATGACATTAGGTAGATCACTTGTAGAATCTGAGTCATAATTGATAGTATACATCCTTACTGTCAACATCCATGTAAAGCTAAGTAGTTTGACCAGTTACCAGTACCCTTTTAGGATCATATAAAAATTGAAATTTTCAGGCAGGGCTAAGAGTGCTCCCTCTTACAAAGTTGTGCGATGGAGTGATGACCATGACTTACTGATGACAAGTCGATCGACAAAGGCCTTAACATCTGAAATCCACCAACAATGGCAGCCAGAGAACCATGACCTCAGCTCTGGTGTCTTTGTCCGGGGACAGAGTAAAGCAGAGGCCCCAAACAGTCTTGATACATGGCTAACATTTGGGGGTTCAGCAATTGCTGGAGAAACTCCTGGGGGCATAATTGATGCCTTTGCACGTAAGTCTTGAACATAGCTACAAATGAAGAGCATTCAAAAAGATAAACAGATAAATTGCTGTGTTGTTGAAGAGAAGTTCATAAAAATTATTTCTCTATCCATGTTGTACATGATTATATTCAATATGATTATTACATAATCTGAAGTTTTATCTGGAACAATGTTATCTTTCAAATAGATAATAACTTTTCCAAGTCCAGATGGCATGTTATTACTTTCTTTTTTTCATGTTTTGGCAGAATTCAAGGATAGCGGAGAGTTTTACAGTGTGGAGGGGGGAGTGGGAAGTAGAATTGCACAACAGCTGCAGAAAGGGGACCGTGTCAGGATAGGAATTAATGGACGTCCCCAGACTCATCATCTGAGACTCAAACAGAGATGTCTAAGTGAAGAAGTGTAAGTCAGTGGAGAATAGCTTTTGGGAGAAAATTCGTAAATTCACATGTAGAAAAAAGGGCATATTTCATTAGTTTAAGATTTTCTTTTTCACTTTTTAGAATTGAAGAAGAACCACAGACTCAAATGGATAGAAGGCCAGTTGTCCCATTGTGTTGGAATGACCAAATAAATCAACCTACTGCAAAAGTTATATCTCCTCGATCACGGAACAATGATCAACCTAGACCTGTAAGTAACTGTGTATATGCAGTACATCGACAGTGTCAGTAAGAGTTCATTCCCTTGTGTAATATTAGAAAAAAAACAAATGTGGATAAAGATATTCATAAATGTATGATTATGATGAATTATTGCATATATATGTAACAAATTAAGAATAAAAATAATTGTTTTATGAAATATTTCCAAAATATGATTTTCTGCAGATTAGAATTCAGAGGTTATAAACATAGCTTAGTAATTGCTTACTGTAAGTACAGCTATACCAAAACATAGAAATTATGTTTCCGGTTTTCTCTTATTTTATATTTACTTATTAATTATCCCTCCAAGTTTTTACTAAATCTTATTTCCCACACTTTTGGAAAAGGTTCGTACATCCTCATAGTTGTTCCCCTTTCTGTGGATGAAATAGCAGTCATCAAAATTAATTCTTGGGATTTGGTTTGCTTATTTGAATTATTTAACAAACATGCATTTAGTTATTAATAGCATGAATATTTATTCATTGTATTTATTGTTGCATATTATTGATTAGACAGTGCTTACTGTGGAGTCTTCTTTGTTCATAGAGGACCATGAATGATTGTGAATTTCATGGGTCACCCTTACCCACAAATTTACATCCCTATGAACCAAAACTTTGTCAACATATTTCTTTATTGAATCTTCTGTATTGAATTCTCTGTAAAAACAAAATACTCATGAAATAATGTCCCCACAAACCAGTAAAGTTTTGATTGCCCATGAAAATTGGTCTCCATTAATTGAAATGATTCCACAGTATTGGTAAACCTTCAAGAGGTTGTGAATTTCATTTGTACTTCAAATTACATATATATTAAATTTTAAAAATTTAAATATCATTTTTTATGAATTTTGAAATTATTAATTTTGAAACTGTCAGTAACTTCTGTGTTTTCCATTTTCCAGAGTCTTTGTGAAACTCATCCTGTTATATTTAGTCATCCAGAAGAAAACAAAACACGTCCTAAGCTCGCCTCTCCCTCTCATGAGGGTTACAAAGTCCGACAACGACCTAAATCAGGACCAGGTCTGGATGGCCATGATCAGCAAAATAAAATTGTAGTTCTATCCATTGATCCCAGTGACGATGAGGACCGCCTCCAATCTCTGACCGTGGATGATGTGCTCAAACATTCCATCAGTGCCAAAAACATTTCTAAACAGGAGGTTTCCAAAAAGGAGTCCCCCACAGAAAACAGTGATTCTCCTCCATTGGATTCTGTGTCGGAACCTGATGACATTGATCGGAGTCAGAGTAAGACTAGTGGGGCTGAATCTCATGTAAGCAGTAATAGTGAACCGTCAAAGACTCCCAAATTCAAAGCTGTTACCCCCTCTTTTACAGTGCAGCCCTATGCAGTTGCTGACCTTTCGGTAGGGCCACCTTCCGGTTCATATGTAAGATCTCAAAGTGAATTAAGTGCTAGATCTGTTGCCTCTAGTCGTGCAGGAAGTGACAGGTCTCTGAGTAGGAACAGTGATAGAGCTAGTGCAAAACACATGTACAAACCTGGCTCCAGTAAGCCAATCAGGGTCAGCAGTCCGGCCTCATTCGCTGTGTATGGAACAAAAGGAGAAACAGAATTCATTCAGATTTCCACACAGATTAGGAATCCTAATCCAAGAGAAAACTCTGTAAGCAAGAACTCAGATGGATTCATTACACAGACAGCTAGCGAGGAGGCCATACGTCAGGTTACTAAGCAGAATAAGGCTGAGGAGAGGACCACGCCCAGAGTCACCCCTGCCCCAGCATCCTCCCCGGAACCCTCAGAACAGCTTTCCTCCACTGCTACTCAGGTGGCAATTAATATACCTACAGCAGAAGACTTTTCTGATCGGGACTCCATGATGACATCTCCCTGGCCTACCAATCGTCATGACAACAAAGATGTGGAGAGAATAACAACTCTGATGGAAGATACTGCAGTGGAACGTGAAACTTCTCAGAAATCAGTCAAGTTCAAAGTTGATAAATAAACTTCAATGTAGACTGCAATGTAGACTCTGATCTTGGCTGATTTGGGACATATTAGACTTGATATCAAACTTGAAATCATTTGAAAGATATTCATACAATAATATTTTAAGTGAAAGTCTTTTTGCTCACAAATCAGAATTTGTCTCCCTTGAGGAGTGCATTGTACTTTCTCTACATTAATTTTTTGGAATATATGTATTTTTTAAAGATGTAATTCTGTATTTTTTATTTATAAATACATGTATCTATGCAGAAAAGTAACATTTAATTATCTTCCTTTGTGTGTGTTGTGAAGTCTAAATAATCAGGGATAAATGTTGTGGAACTGTTCCGTTAGGTGTTTAAAAGTTATTTGAGCTGTCCCAGAACAACATGTCACTTAGTTTAAATTGCATCTGTTCATCCTCAGCTTGAGTGGGTTCATCCAAGTCAGCAAGCTTCATCAAATTTGCATTCACTGGTGTTCAACAGTTATGTAAGAGGTATAACAAAACATTCATTGACTGGGTTGTTGGGCAGAATGTGTTTTGCCAAATCTTCAAATCAAACTGCTGCCTTTAATGCCATTCAATAAGTGTATAGTATTAGAGTTTATTTCTCACAAGGTTCTACATCTACTTAGAAACTAAAATAATCAAAAATAAAAGCAGTAGTTATAATGTTTAATTGTGTACTGATTTCTTTAGTTACCATTTGCCAGAACTGTTTCTGTGTTATAAAGATCACAATAAATTTCATTCCTTTGAAGAAAAAAAACTTTAAAATTCATGTAAACTATTCATGGGTAATGTTTAATCAACTCATAATGTAAAGGATCTGTGGAGATTTGGGGAGTACAATATTGAAAAGGACAATGGAGTAGAGTTTCAACGTTATCACAGATACTCCCATATTTTTGTTTTGGATACTTAATTTATATGATAAAGACCAAGAAATATATTTATATTTCCATTTATGGTTATATTGTTTCTCTTGTATTCTCCTCAATAATCTGGTGCCAAATAATTACCATCTCACAGATATAATCATAGTATATATGTTCCTCATTTCATCAATGCATGTCCTGGAAGTCCTCCTAGATAGAGATTTTGTGATATGTGACTTTTTTTGATCATATATCTAAAACATGTTTCCAATTTTATATTTTTTATACATTTTGTGAAACTAATTGAATTAATATTACTTGAATATTATGCATGCTCTGCTAGCAATTTTGAAAAAACTAGTAGAATTTCGCTGTTTCATCTCTGTATTTGGGTGATTTTTGTTTTTTGTTCTGTATGAGGCTCTTTGTAATGTTTGTACTTTGATCATAATTATTTCAAAGAAGCATTTTTCCTTGTGAATTTTTCATTTTTCATGAAATAAAGAGAGAATTATATAATTATGTTGAAAGTCATTCTTTTTAAATGCTCTGTAAGTGTAATGCTGGTGATTCAGTATAATGTTGACAAACCTCTGTTTTTCTGTACATGCACCAGTTCATGTTCAGCTCAATTTCAAGGAAACTGTGTGGGATATTTTCATCCAACTGCATACGAAGATAAAATTGTTAAAAAGTTCAAAAGAAGAATTTTGAATTTAAATTACATCCTTCTGACCAGTGGAACTTACAGATTACAGGGCCTCTGTTTGCATGGAGCCAGTTAAACTTTGTGTGAATTAGTAAATAAGTAATGAACCATACTTTGTGTTAAGTAGTAAATAAGTTATGAACCATAAAAATCAATTTCCTTCCATTACAAATAGTCCAAACAAGAAGCTATTACACCTAATTGCCTGATGTGAACTTGACATAGTCCATATGGAATTAAGGCAATTTGAACTTTGTTGTTTATACAACAGTTATAACTAGTATTAATTGTAACGGGGACCGTTACAGATGTTCCCCAAAGGCTCCCCAACTCCCTTTTGGTGTCATTTCCTGTAAGCTTCATTAAATAAGGCAATTAAGTATATTGGTTTCACGCGCGCGCACGTGTGCAGGTTGACCATGTCATTCCGTCTGTACTATAAATGCATCTTTATATTCTCAGTATCAAAACATTTCATCAAAAAATATATAAGTTCCGGCTATATCAAGTATCGCGCACGTGCACCTGTATGCATGTTCATAATGACCATGCCATTTTGTCTACACTTATAATATGTCTGTTTATTCTTAGTATCAAAGCTTTTCATCAAAAAATATAAAAGTTATGGCTATATTAAGTATATTGGTCATTAAACACATTGCACGCGCGCGCATGTGCATGATGGCCACATCATCTTGTCTACACTTTTAATATATCTGTATATTCTTAATATCAAAGCTTTTCATCAAAAAATATAAAAAGTACGGCTATATTAAGTAAATTGGTCATTTAACACATTGCACGCGCGCGCACGTGCATGCATATGCATGATGATCATGTCGTCTTGTCTACACTTTAAATACATATAAATATTTTGAGTATCAAAGCATTTCATCAAAAAGTTTCAAAATTACAACTATATCAATTAAATTGGTCATTTTACGCACGTGCATGTTGACCATGTCATCTTGTTCACACTTTTAATATAACCTTATATTCTGAGTATCAAAGCATTTATCAAAAAATGTAAAAGTTACAACTATATCAAGTATATTTGTCATTTTACGCATTGCAAGCGCGCGCACGTGCATGCATGTTCATGATGACCGTGTCATCTTGTCAACACTATTAATATATCTACATATTTTGAGTATCAAAGCATTTCATCAAAAAGTATAAAAGTTACAGCTATATCAAATATATTGGTCATTTTAGCACTGCATGCGCACGCAAGTGCATGCAAGTGCATATTGACAATGTCGTCTTGTCTACATTTATAATATGTCTATATTTTCTGAGTATCAAAGCATTACATCAAAAAATGTAAAAGTTATGGTTATATCAAGTATATTGGTAATTTTACTTATTGCACGCGTACGCACGTGCATGCATGTGTGCGCTGACCATGTCATCTTGTGTACACTTCTAATATATATTTATATTCTGAGCTTCAAAGCAATTCATCAAAAAATGTACAAGTAAAGTCTATATCATTTGTATTGGTTATTTCTATCATTGCGCATGCGCACACATGCATGCATGTGCATTCTGACCATGTCATCTTGTCTACACTTTTAATATATCCTGATATCCTGAGTATCAAAGCATTTCATCAAAAGATATGAAAGTTATGGCTATATCAGGTATATCTGTCATTTTACCCATTGCACGCGCGCGTACGTGCACGCACATGCATGCATGTGTGCGCTGATCAAGTCTTCTTGTCTACACTTCTAATATATATTTATATTCTGAGTTTCAAAGCAATTCGTCAAAAAATGTTCAAGTTAAGTCTATATCAATTGTATTGGTTATTTCAATCAATGCGCATGCGCGCACGTGCATGCATGTGCATTCTGACCATGTCATCTTGTTTACACTATAAATATAACCTTATATCCTGAGTTTCAAAGCATATCATCAAAAAATATAAAAGTTACAGCTATATCAAGTATATTGGTCATTTTACGCATTGCACGCGCACGCACGTGCATGCACGTGCGCGCAAAATGACCTTCGTTCCGCAAATATACATAACATTCCTATTAACCCTAAAAAGGTTTCACCTCAATCGGATTGTGTAGTTTCGGAGATCACTCACAGACAAAAAAGTACCCAGGAAGAAAAATAATAATAACTAGACTCTTGTTGCCATGGCAACAAAAAAGTCTTCCGTTCTTCTAAATCTGTAAGAATTTGCTTTTTTCTGTGTAAAAAACGTATATATCATATTTACTGTGAAAGAAAAAAAAATAACTGGACAAAAGTTCTTTCAGTACTTAAGGTACTTTGATTTTCATTATCAATCTTGTATAATACATTTGGCACCTATAAGAGATATACGTATATCATTAGCAATTAAAAAAAATTGTTTGCAATCATTTCCAAGACAAACAAACAGACGAACGAACACCGTACTATCATAAACTTCACTATGTGTATGTTTTGGCATAATTGTGATGGTGTTATAAAAAAATATAATGAATTAAGTTAGTAACGTCACTGAGTTTTGTAAAGTTAAAATATCAAGATTTGACAGCATACCTATGAGACAGATTATTCAATTACAGTAATTCTTCGGCAATCGATTGATTGATTGATTAATTATACGTATGTTGTTTAACGTCCCTCTCGAGAATTTTTTCACTCACATGGAGACGCCACCACTCGCCGGTGGAGACTGCAAATTTAGCACTTATCGCAATTGAGCAGTGGGGAATCTTTTTTATGCCAGCACCTTCTGTGACAAGGGACCTCGATTTATACGATCTCATCCAAAGGACCGGTCTCCACGTCCCACAATCGAAGTTCACAATACCGAGATATTTTATTTTTTGTTTTGTTCTATTTTTTCACAAGTTTGTAGCATCAGATTTACTTAAAGATCATACTTCAAGATTATTTCGAACTCAGGCTACTTAATTGCAGTGCATACAGCGTCAAGTGATTTTGATTGACAGGTCAACACACGTGCACTTCGTGTGATATTTTTTAAGCTGAAAAATATACAGGATGTGACCATGCCTGACTATGAAATCAGAAAACATTTAATAAAGAATGGGTGTGACCGATATAGAACTAATTTTTGGTCTATGTAAATGGATAGGAGGATCGGGATTAAGAGGGAATCTCTCTCTCTCTCTTTTTTTTCTCTCTCTCTGACGTAAATTGAACATTTCATAATGACAAATCTACCATTATAGAATATGAAATTCTGTATACATGTAAATGGTAATTATATTCACATGTTCCAGATTTAAATCTAAAACGAATATATAATTCAAATGCCTAGCTGCACGAACGTCTCCAAATATTAATCAAGACGGGGGGGGGGGGGGAGGCTTCAAAAGAATTAGATAGTTTTATGTTTTATGAATTATAAGGAAAAGTACGGACGTCAGTTGCATGTACATAATTATATATCATTGCATAAAACTGTGTTCATTCAGGTATACTTATCCCACATATCAACAGACCTGTACAATTTTTTTTCGTGTTTTTTTTTCCCAAAAGAAACATATAGCGTACCATTATTTCACACAGAATCGCGTTTTCACATATTTTTTTTTTACTCTTTGAGTATTTCACAAGAATCCAGGAATCGTCTTTTCACATCTTTTATAATTCCTTGGGTATATAGAGTATAGATCATGTGTCATAAATAATTTAACTTTTTTATCAAATATACATGTAATAACCAAATCTAATCTACATGTATATACTGATTTTCTTTCTTTTAAGTGACAAATATCAATTTATTTCCAAAGGCTTTAATACAGTCTGTATTACAAATTTCTATCGCTCAGTTCCTTTTTAAGTGTACGTAATATTTTTTAATATCGAAAATAAAACTCGGAAATCGGGATAATTTCGCATTCAAATCATAGAGAATAATAAATCGTCTGCATTATAGAAGGCTTAGTAACTATCTTATTCCGAACTTACTATACGAGATAGATAAATTGCATGCCTGTCCATCACTATAAATGTATATTCAGTGCTTATAATATATTTACTTGAATTACATACCTAGCAGATATAGTAATTTTTTTTTTACATATATTCATGTGTAAATCAATTAACTGTCAATTCAGACTTACACTACACTGGCAACTTCAAACTTTACATGCACTGGAAGCGGTAACCAACGTACTCTTAAATTTTGAAGAGTGAATATAGAACGTCTAAATATTTTGATATGGAGAGTGTATATGTCCCTGACGTCATCGCTACTATTTCCGCCTTTATCTCGAAAGTTCTATTCTCACTTACAAGTCAGAGTTATCTTCCTTTGCCCATTGTCTACACACTAGGTAAATAGGGAAAATGACGGTACCGAAAATCTGCAAAATGTGGAATCTGATTTCAAAACAAATTATATATTTAGTATCTGTAGAATAACCTCTGTTATACATAATAATATCTTGAAAAAATATTAAAAAACAAAAAAGTTGAAAATTGACCAAACAGAAGTTCACTTCCGGTTCGGACAGGAAGTACCGGAAACACACGAAAATAACTTTGAAACAAAGAGAATGTCATGATCTAATACCCCTGTTAATTTCACATCTTTACCTTAAACCGTTTCCGAGAAAAATTCCGGACAAAAGTCCATTTAAAAATTGGAAACTCGGCCGTAACTTCGGACCGGAAGTGAATTTTTCAAAAAACGGAATTTTATATAAACTTCATATATCAGCCTACTATCATGTGAAAAATTGTGAAAATCTATCCAACCATCTCTGAGTAATCGCGCTCACAAAATTTGGGAGGAATAATAATAATAATAATAAC